TCTGTCTAGTCTTGTGACTGGTCTTGTTTGTGTCTGGTCTTGTGTCTTACCTTCTGTCTGGTCTTGTGATGCTGGTCTTGTGTCTAACCTTCTGTCTGGTCTTGTGACTGGTCTTGTGTCTGGTCTTGTGTCTAACCTTCTGTCTGGTCTTGTGACTGGTCTTGTTTGTGTCTGGTCTTTTAAATGGTATAATGTCTGGTCTTGAGACTGGCCTTGTATCAGGTCATGTGACTGGGTCCAGTCTGCAATACTGGTTTTAGTGCCGAGTGAATTTCCCGGCCAAATCGATGATGCCCCAGGTGGCTGTATTTACTTTTCATTCTCAGCCTTCTCCTTTCGGTAGGTCTCAAATTCCTCCTGCAGCGTCTTCATCGCTTCCCTGGCCGTGTCCTTGACCTCAGTGGCAGGAGCTGTGCTGACCGGCAGGCTGTCTTGCTGGGTGTCTGGGGTAGTCGCCGCCGGTGGTCCAAAGGCAGGGGAGGCCATCGGACTGGTCAACTTGACAAGGGATATCTGAGGAACACGGACCAATGAGGGTTGAAGTTGCTATTAACCACACGCCGACATTTTTTTTCCCATCGGAAACCAAACTGTTGAAAAAGGCAAGTTGTCAAATGCATTTCAACACCACAAACAATGACTGTTGGAATGAATTTGTTCATTTTTTGTACAATGTCTCACTGCAACCTCATAGTTTGCAGGGCTGAGGGTGTAACATTTACCCCTAGAGTGATATTTGTCACACAACAGGCTACACATTGGAAACCAAACTGTCTTGCTCAAGTTTTGAGGCCACAAAGAAGTGAACTTCAATGACTAAAGTTGACTAAAAGTGACGACAATTGCTACGAAATGTCCCATAGCAGCTATCAGAAAACCACTCACAATAAGTGCACGGGTTGTTAAAATTTGAAAGCTTTCCACATTTCCATTAAGTTTAGTTGGATTAAATGAATGTACACCCCACCGATGCCCGACAACTTCCTTGGTTATTAATCATGTGCATGGTGTATGGAGCAGTGAATGAGTCTATTCTATTTCAAAGAGCTATTAAAGGTCTTTCAGGAATGGTGTGCGCGAGACAGCGTACGGCTGCGCTGATAGGACAGACTGTTGCGCACGCGAGCGTAGCTGCTCCTGAAGAGCCTCACACGGGCATGCGCTGTTGGAACATTGAACTGACTTGTTGTTTTATGAACTGACCGGAGGGGGAGTGGTCCCACTCTGCTGGAGGAGGACCCGGTACATGTCCCTCTGCCGGACGATGGCCTCCACCATCTCCGTCTGTCGGGCTCGTGCCTCTCTCATCTCCTGGATGTCCTGCAAGGCGCTGTCTAGTTCCTGCCTTAGCCCGGCTGTCCTGAAACGGAAAATGAATATTCAAACACAACACCATTTGAGAATGTATATTGGATACAATGCTTGTGAGGTTGGGAAAGATGCCAAACTTGTTGCCTGATTGCTGAGTTTTGTTTAAATAACATTTTTATTTTAAGGTTTTTGGCCGTCACTTTTTTGAAGTTTTCATTTGGGACTTCTGCTCCATTTACATTTTTTCTGGTAGGAGGTTTGAATACATTAACCCTGCTTTATTATATTCCCAACATTTCCAACTCTGGTATTTCACATTTTGTGCACCTGTCCTCTCAAAGATCTCATTAGGTTTATTAATTAATCCCAGGAGCGCATTTCTGTGCAAGTCTAATTTCATCTGTGAGCCAGAGTCTGCAGTTTTTTCCCACTGTGCCATTTTCCAAGGTTCTGACGGAGAGTTAACAATTGTTGTCAATCTACTCACTTGAAAGTTATTTTTAAGTTTCATAAAAACTGTTGTCAAACCACCCACGAGGCATCAGCAGAAAGGGTTTTGAAACTCAAAGCAACTAAACATGCTAAAGCGATATCGGTAAAAAGTGGGCTGGGCCCATTTTTCCCCCGCCCCCCTGCCTGGTCCATCTGAGCGAGACGTACTTGCTCTCGATGGTGAGTTGTTCCTCCTGTTCCTTCTTATCGCTCAGCTCTCGCAGCGAGGCCAGGAGCTTCTCGTTCTGGGCCTGCAACTCTTCAATGCTCCTGTTTCCAATCGCAGGGCACAAAAAAAACACCTGTTAATGCAGTTCCATGTGGATGGATAGTGGTTTAGGGTTTGTCGCTTCCGATTACAGGGTTGGGTGTTCGAATCCAAACAGATGGGGACTGCGCGTTGAGACCTTGGGGAAGCACACGTAACTTCACCCCCACCTGCATCTCACCAGGTCTTAATGGTATCGTTTGAGCCCAAAGTGGCAGCATCGGGCTAGTATACTCCCCAGGGAGCTGAGTTGGTCTCAGGAATGGTCAGATGTTGTGAGCCCAATGTGCATAGATAATGATAATGTATCAACATCTTTGAATGACAAAAATACAGTGAGACTCCATGCACCTCATAACACTGTGAGACTATAACAATTATTATTAAGACATTGCTGAAACCGCTGTCAAGGGTCGAAAAATGCCCTCAGCCTCACCTGAAGGAGACAAGATGTTCGCTGATGACGTTGGAGGAGCTGGAGACATCGGGAGAGGAGACGTTGAGGTCCGGTCTGATGGGACCTCCCTTGGCTTCGTGGACCTCCTTCAACAAGACACGGACCTACAGACATACAACAGAAACAAGTTACAAACAAATTTCCTCTCAACAGTAAGATTTCATTTATGGTTTCAGGTTAAAAATCTGCGGAATTTAATTTTGGGCACATGGAAACAAACCAAATTTTACGTATGCTTTTGTTTTATATTTCTTGCATAGAACTCTGATCTCTGCCGTGCCAGTGTGGGGAAAACAAAGATTCAGAAATTCAGGGTTGACAGCATGCAACTGAAAAACGAATTTACCTGGTGTCCCAAGTCCGTACACTGCTGCTTGAGGCGTACAATCTCCCGGGCCGACATACTGGCTCGACGTTCGGCCTCATCTGTAGCTACGCGCAACTGTTCACACTCCTGAAATGCCACCAGATGGGATCAAAGTTTGCAGTTACGAATGAACTACTCTCTCTATAAAGACAAACTATCGAGAGAGAGAAAACGAGTTTTGCAACTTAAATTTTGTTTATTAACTCCGACCGTTTTCAATCCTTCAACTGTTCACAAGACTGTTAAAGATAACTTGAAACTGTGTGAGTGAAGCATGGATGTCTTTTTGTGCAAATCATGTTTCAGACAAGCTTTTACCATCCAATCAAAACGCTGCTTCTCTTAGCTGCATAGTCAGTTATGACAAAACAATGGTGTAGTTTTAATTTATATTTCTTTTTCTGGTAGCATGATGGAACCGTGAAAGCCCACAAGAACTGTTTGACAAAAATTACCTTCAGAATTGTCTCTCCGGTAAAAAAAAACTGGCCAACTATCCTTTTCTTCATAAACTAGAACTCAATACTAATTGAAATAGCTAGAGAGTTTACAGGGACTTCAATGGCGTTAGTTTGGTGGGGATGTGAAATCGTTTTATTTTTTTTCGGATACACTCACAACAAGGTTTGCATCTAGCCGTGCCGATAGCTGATTGGTCGTCTGCAACGCCTTCTCATAGTCATCTCTCTGCTTCTGCATAATGGGAGCTTTCTCTTCAATTTCCTAAAAAATGAAATCCATCAAAAATGATTTATGCTTCTGTTAACAACTGAGTGTGGTAGCGATGCTTCAAATTTGGCAATCATACTAGAACAGGAACAACTTGAAAACAATTGCCACTCAGAAAGGCCATTTTTAACGGATATTGAGGTAATGCTCAAGTCCGCTTTTCAAATGTCAAACTCTTGTTGAAGGGCTTGGCAGCACTTACATTTTAGAAGGGCAGAATTGGTGACCCATTCTGTGACAATGGGCCACAAGTTGCCAGTGCTACTTTTGAGTTCCAGGCCTCTTTATGCATCTTACACTATAGAAATCAACAGTAACGTAACCCAACACTTTTCACCCACACAATGACCATTTTATCAGGATGCCAACAGGAGTAAAGACATCAACAGGGAAAGCTAGGCTTGCTCTTTCCACTGCAAACTGAAAAAAAAATTACTGGGGAAACACTTATATCTTGGTTTATGTAGGTGACGATGATGACATTGCTGGATCCGCCTTGAGCAGAAGCACCCCCTCACCAGTCAAAAAGAACTTTGTTGGTAGGGAGTGTCCATTTTTGTTGATAGTAAAGCGAAACTAACATGTGCACTGAATAGTCATTCGTGAACTGGCAAAGTTCTGTTCTGACCAAAGGCGCCTCCACTGCTGAGAAAATTCTGCCCTCTTTCTTGGTCCAGCTTGGGATTCCTTGGGCTGTCCAAATCCATTTGTTTCACTGGTACCCACAATCAACAGGGCAGTGTGCATACTCACCACCAGGATCTGGTCCAGGTAGGAGTTCAGTCGCTGGTTCTCTGCCTTCTCTACCTCCAGCTCATCCGAGCACTTGACGTACTCGCTGTACATCTGTTTGGATGAGACACCATCAGCAGAGTAATGCAGAAGCTATTCCGATCATCAAGCCCAGCTTCCATAGCAATCTCCAAATCCTCAAATATCCACTATTATAACACTTCACCCACAGATTCTGTATCTTGATTGGCCGAAAGTGTATCATGTGACGCTTACTAGTTTTACTATTTTATACCACCGCTCCCGAAAATGACTATACCATGCAGCCTCATTCTGAAAAAGAACTATACCCGTAGCAACCAAAGAACTATATCCGTAGCAACGAAAGGATAGGCATGCAGTTTGGCTCATAGCGCACAACATTGGTTAATGAATGTATTCAAACGTTGCTTTTCCAATTCAATTTGAAGAATGTAAATTCCAGTTTGGTGTTTCATTATTGATTTTTAGCTTAAATTTTGCAGGATCTATGGGGAGGTGTTACAAAACAAATATTGACTGCTTTATCTCGCGGTTCAGTAAACCTAGCCACCCGAGGTGATCCATGGAGCATTCTATTTTCCCTCAGCTTTCCCTCAGGAAAATGGAATGCTCCGTGGATCACCGAGGGAGGCTAGTTTACTATACCACTCGAAGCAGTCAATATTTGTATACTATATTGGTAATTCCAGAAATTAGGGGTCTATTTTTTTCGTGTCCCTGTCACATCTGACATATGATTTTGTTAAGTTCAGAACACTTTTTCTAATTTCTAAGAGTGATGAATTAATGCAAATTATCTGCCAAACAAATAGTAATAGTTTGAAATCAATCCCGGTGATATTGTCAAATAATGTCAAATGTCCGTGTCAAATAACAAAGGTCAGACAGGGACACAAAATTGTCACACTTTTGGACCCTAATTTCTGGAATGACCCATGCAGGAATTAAGAGTCTCATTCTCTGTAACTGAATTTTAAGGGGAAATCAAGCCAAACTAAATCACGGCGAGTGAGCTCTATCTTCCTCAATCCTGCAAAGTACCTCCAAATCTGGTAGATTTTGAATGAATTAGGATGGTTAGTATTTGACAATTATGAACAGCAAGAAGACAGGAGATGTATACAAAAAGATGGTTCGTTGTCAAACAGATGCCCCAAACAATCTGTTTTTCACCTGAAAGACCAACTCGGTTTGCTCTGTTCATGCTGGTTTACATTGTTGAAAACGTAAATGAAATGAAAGCATGCCTCTATCAGTTAATGCAAGCTAGTCAGGCTACACAACCTGCTTAATCTGGTTTACATACTGTACTTGGGTTAGTGTTAACCTGGATTTCAACAAGCCGCTAACTGCAGTAGCAATTGGGGAGAGACAGTTTAACTCCCTCTCAAATTCATAACTGGTACCTCCTTAACCTGGTTTATATATCTGAGTTAGCATCAACCCGGATTTCAAGAAGCTGCTGGCCACAGCAGCAACATGGGAGAGAGAGTAGTAAGTTAATTACCAGATTTGTGAGTACTGCATCCTTGGCCTGGTTGGCATACCTGAGTTAGCGTCAATCCAGATTTCAAGAAGCTGCTGGCCGCGGCAGCGGTTGGGGAGAGACTGTTCAGTTCTTCGTCTGACATCTTCATGACCACGCCCTTCCTCCTGGCGGCGTCCAGGAGATCGTTGGCATCCTCCAACTCCTTCTCCAGCTGGGCAATCTTCTCATCTTCCGGTGAAATAAAAATGGAACGGATTTGGTCAGAATGATTGAAACGGCAGTCAAGATTCTTTGAGGAGAGAAGCCGTAAAACAATTTTACAAAGNAGGATCTATGGGGAGGTGTTACAAAACAAATATTGACTGCTTTATCTCGCGGTTCAGTAAACCTAGCCACCCGAGGTGATCCATGGAGCATTCTATTTTCCCTCAGCTTTCCCTCAGGAAAATGGAATGCTCCGTGGATCACCGAGGGAGGCTAGTTTACTATACCACTCGAAGCAGTCAATATCTGTATACTATATGGGTAATTCAAGAAATTAGGGGTCTATCTTTTTTCATGTCCCTGTCACATCTGACATATGATTTTGTAAGTTCAGAACACATTTTTTAATTTCTAAAAAGTCATGAATTAATGCAAATTACCTGCCAAACAAATAGTAATAGTTTGAAATCAATTCTGGTGATATTTCCATGTCAAATAACTAAGGTCAGATGTAACAGGGACACAAAATTGTCACACTTTTGGACCCTAATTTCTGGAATGACCCAAGCAGGAACTAAGAGTCTCATTCTCTGTAACTGAATTTTTAGGGGAAATCAAGCCAAACTAAATCACGGTGAGTGAGCTCCATCTTCCTCAATCTTGCAAAGTACCTCCAAATCTGGTAGATTTTGAATGAATTAGGACGGTTAGCATTTGACAATTATGAACAGCAAGACGACAGGAGATGTATACAAAAAGATGGTTCGTTGTCAAATAACAGATGCCCAAAACAATCTGTTTTTCACCTGAAAGACCAACTCAGTTTGCTCTGTTTACATTATTGAAAACGTAAATTAAATGAAAACATGCCTTTATCAGTTGATGCTAACTGCAGCAGCAATTGGGGAGGGACAGTTTAACTCCCTCCCAAATTCATAACCAGTACCTCCTAAACCTGGTTTGTATATCTGAGTTAGAATTAACCCCGGATTTCACGAAGCTGCTGGCTACAGCAGCAACATGGGAGAGAGTAGTAAGTAAATAACCAGATTTGTGAGTACTGCATCCTTGACCTGGTTGGCATACCTGAGTTAGCGTCAATCCGGATTTCAAGAAGCTGCTGGCCGCGGCAGCGGTTGGGGAGAGACTGTTCAGTTCTTCGTCTGACATCTTCATGACCACGCCCTTCCTCCTGGCGGCGTCCAGAAGATCGTTGGCATCCTCCAACTCCTTCTCCAGCTGGGCAATCTTCTCATCTTCCGGTGAAATAAAAATGGAACGGATTTGGTCAGAATGATTGAAACGGCAGTCAAGATTCTTTGAGGAGAGAAGCCGTAAAACAATTTTACAAAANTTTGGCAGTAAACAGCGGCTACCTATCGGTGTGTAGTCCAGGCCAATTTATACATCTGAAGACACAAGATCAAGAGAAATCCGAACAACCATCTTAGGAGCCCATCACAAAACAAGCAGTCAAAAAAGAGAAGCTAATTTTGCATATGTACATGCACACACATGTAAGCACATGTACACACACCCAAGCATGTGTAACAAGTGCAATGTTGACACAGCAAAGAGCGCCCTCTTTTTTTCTGCAGATAATGCCCTCTATTGGCTGGGCTTTTTCCCATCATGGAAATTGAGCATTCCGATTTTGTACAGTCTGAAAACCGAAACATTGGAACAGTTCCACTTATTCAGAAAGGTTGGCAGGTGTGTAGTAAATTACGACACTTATTGGTAACAAACTGACAAACAATGAACCCCTTCACGGCCGGATCATTTTGACCGCGACTGCTGGGCTGTGGTATGCCCTGAATGGAGGGCTTTGTCCAGCAGCAGGCCCCATTGAACCAGCAGCTGCATGGTGAATAGACTGTATGTGTGGTTTGCACTAATCGTCACACAATGGTGCGGTAGTAGCAGTCCTCCATAGCGAAGGGGTTTACAGTGGAGAGACGACAGCTTTAACCCCTTAACGCTGGTAGACGGCTACAGCCGCGGCACTGTGTGAGGATTAGTGCATTACCACACATACATTCTATTCATCATGCACCTGCGGTTTCAATGTGGGCCTGCTGCTGGACAGAGCTTTGCAAACTGGGTATACCGCAGCCCGGCAGTCGCGGTCAAAAGAATCCTGGCGTTAAGGGGCTAAGAATTTTATTCGAAATTCTTCCCCAATTTCTTTAGTATATCAATTGATTTTTCTCATTTTATAATTTGGAATTTTTTTCCATTTTTTGGGGAGGGGTGCCCTTCCCAAAAGTGCCCATGACTCTCAGAATGACAGAATCTTTAGACGGAATCGAAAGACCCAATTCCCTCCTCGTTCCCCCATCCATTCGAGACACCTACTCAGCTCCGTCGCCTGGGCCGTGTGCTCCCCGGCCATCTCCTGCATGCGGGTCTTCAGCTCCTCCTGCGAGGTGCTCGCCTGGCCCAGCAGCTTCTGCAGCTCCTCCACGGCGGTGATCAGCTCCCGCACCTTGTCCTGGGCTTCCGCCGCACTTTTCTGGGGGGAGAATCAAATCATTTTCAGCATCACTTTGGGAACTGAGTCTGAGATACAGTACAATGTACAATCTTAGTAACTCCAACCTCAGGGGAGTGGATAAAAAATTTCAAGCTATTACATGTAAATTCCCGAGTACTGGAGTCATATTCATACGTACATCTACAGTGCACATAAACGAAGTGAACTTGTTCTGCAGTGGCAACATGTTTTCATGGTTACTTTCCTTTTTTTGATTGAAAAATGCAGAGTTTTGCTCCCAAATCCCCATTTTACAGAGATTTCATGTTTTTGTTAAATTCAGAGTCCCTTTCTACTGATAAACAATTATCCTTTATTAACCACGTCCTGCCGCGGACTCCAGAATCAGAGATGTATATGCGTGGCCGGGGTCTCCGAACTCAGAAACAGGGCCCTGTAACAAAAGACCAAACTCCGAACAAAAGAACAGGCTGCTGGGCATTGGCAACATTTTTCACTCTTAAAAGTGGTGATAATCCAGCCTTGTTTTGAAATCGTATAACAGGGTTTGGGGCATTTATAACAAGCGGATTACCACCGGGGACAAAAATGCTCCACTACCGCAGCGATGAGCCACACAGCACCGCTGCACGCTTATGCGGCCCCTATTGAAAAGAGGTCAGCAGCACACTGTGCCAGGTTCGTCAACAAAAGAAAATTATGTAACACCACACAATCTGGGCTTCTTTTTACAAGGCAGCAGGCCTGGCTGAAATACTCCAGTGTCAATAGATGTTGTCTATCAGATTAGAGTAGACACAAGACAGTCCTTCGTGTGGGTGTAAATGTCCAGCAAATGAAGATATGAATTTTTAAAGAATTTTGAAAACAGAAAAAAATGAAAATTATTCTATCCCAGTATCATCAACATTCATAAATGCCCCAGGTGCAAAGTGGTTAATAAAACTGATGCCACGCTGAGTGCCAGGCATCAGTTAACAAAATCAACGAGGCCGACCACATTCAAAACATACACGGCACTGAAACTCGAACAAAAATCCACTCGCAACTGCCATTTCAGGGTTTACGAGAGCTCACCTCAAACAGAGTTGACAGCTTGCTCTGGGCACTGAGCTCACCACGGAACTGCTCCTCACTCTTGGCATAAGCTTCATTATTCTACAAAGAGGAAATCGGGCAAGATATTTTCAAAATAATGCACAGAGGTTACGTACTCAGAACCGTGTAACTCAAATGTTCTTGTGATAACTTACGAATAGATGGGTGCTGAAGTGTAACGCAATCTTTCGTTTGATCACATGCCAATCAAGCATTTATTTTATCAGTCAAGTTGTAAGTACTTAACCCCTTCGCGACGGGAAGCGGTAAGAGCCGCCGTGAAAATTGAGATCCCTCAGCCCGCTTTTCAGTTATTATTCTCAGCCCACGCTCGAGCGAACATGGTGAGAGAAGGTAGACCCTGGCTCTTGTATATATGGTGATTGGCATTTGTGTGTTGCCAAGAAATGAAAGGCCGAATTTGCATCATAATCACCAGCTTCACAATAGTCCCCACTTTAAAAAGAGGCAACGGGAATGTGGAAGCGTGAATAGAGCCGCATGTAAATCAAAGCATGAAGAGCACGCAGGGTCAAAAACCGAGCATTTGCGGTTTGGCAGGTGGGCTATGTGGCCAAGTGAGGCTGGAATTCTCGGAGACGGCTTTCAGAAAAAAAGTCCCGGCGTCAAGGGGTTAAATATTAGGAATGAACAATCAACTTCTGGCTTGAGAATGGAGGACTGGAAACAGACCTGCAGACTGACTTAAAGATGGACTTGTGGCGGACTTGTGGATTGACGCGAGACGGACTTGTGACGGCATTTTGGACTGACCTGCAGTGCACTTGTGATGGACTTGTGACATCTCAGAGACTTGTGAATGGCTTATGATGGCTTGAGACTTTTGAAAGCCTTCTGACTGAACTGTGATTGGCTTGTAACAGGCTTGTGATGACCTGTGATGGGTTTGTAACTATTCCTCGGACTTGTGATTGACCTCAGACTGACTCCTAATGGACTTGTGATGGTATCGTGACTAACTTTTCATAGACTTGTGACTGACTTACGATGGCTAATGATGACTTCTGATTGATTCGTAGCTGGCATACGAGGGCTTGTGACTGACGGGTGACAAATGGTTGACCGATCTGTGATGGACCTATGATGGACTTACTACCGACTTGTGATTTCTCCTGCCATTTCATTTTAATAGTGGCTGACTTGTCATTTGAACTTGTGACTGATTAACGACTGACTAGTGATTACTTTAAAGACAACTCCTGTTTCTATCTGACCTCCTTCATCTTTACAACCAGCTCCTCGATTCTGGCCTCCTGGTCCTTGTTTGTCGCCTTGTAGGCCTCGGCCGATTCCTGCAGATGCTTCATCTCGTCCAGCCGCTCGTTCAGTTGCCCTTGCAGCTCCAGGATCTGATTGGACTGGGAAACACGGTCGCGCAAAAGAAACTAATGAACCATCCGAGCAACATTAAATGGCAACGTTTCAAACCTGAAAATCTATGGACGGAAATCACTCAGAGTGCAGCGTTTGACGTGTAAATTGTCAAACAATCGACTGGAGCTGGCTTTAAAGGGCCCTACCGACTGAGCTAACAAGCCTAAAGTTCCATTATTACACCCTAACCCTCCAGCCTACTTTGGCCGGAAACCCTGCCAGATACATCAGCCTGCATCATTTCTTTGTCAAAGTGGATTATAACAAGATCCAACAGGTCAACTCTCCCCATGGTCCAACAGTCCGGGAGTCTGGGGTTGCCAGTCGCAAGATCCGACAGTGGCATTGTTCAACGGGACAATCTCCCATAGTCTCAACATGGCTAGTTCATTCGGCTGCTGTCGACTGCCAAGCGCATCAAAGTGCATCCGACTTTTTTTCACCTGATGCACTGTGCTGCGTCCGTCAGGGTCGGCGTTAATCTCAGGAGCAGGCAAACACCGGTGGGAAAACTCACCTTCTCTTTTCTCAAGACCAAGAGCTCATCCGTGTTGGCCTTAAGCTGCTGACTCAGCCACTCGTTCTGCGAGCTGAGGTGAGCCTTCTCTTGCTCCAAGCGCTTCTCACGGTACTTCATGAGACAACATGGAAGACAGATGCAGAAAAGGCGGGAAAAACAGAGATCAATTTCACACAGTACGTAATTATAAATGCAAGATTCATTGAGAAGATAAAATTTACCTTCACATACATGTGAAGTTGAAATGAAATACACCCCGTCACAAGCTAATTTTCTTGTCGAGTCTCGACATATTATCTACACGCCTTATGAGGGGGTCAAACTAATTTTACCAAAATTCTGGTGCCTAAAACAAAAGTAATTGTTTCCAAGAAGACCTAAAATACATTCTATATAATCTTTTTAAGAGCCTAATTAATATTGTAAAAATATCATTCACACATGAAAACCCTTATTGTTGATGATTTGGTGATGATAAATAGTATGACCCTACACAAGTACACCTACGCTTGCAGTTAATGTCAACACTGGGTTTCCAAATTTCCTAAATACCTTGGTGGACATGTCCTGGTTCTGCAGCTCGTCGATTTGAACCTGCAAGTTGCACTTTGCCGCATTGGCTTCGGCCAGCTTGCCAGACATGGCCTTCCAGTCATCTGCCAAGAGTGACCACATCAGCCATGATCAAGAATTACCTCGCACTAAACATACACTCAGTGCCCCAGTACTACCAGAAGCATCTTACCATGCTTACAGGACTGAGTCAGTTCGAATAATTCACTATTCGAATATTTGACCTTCAGTTCAATCAAATATCCGAATATTCGGTCTTACCAACCGGCAGATTGTTGATGATTAACCCTCCTTTAGTTTTGCAGCACAAATGTGCACAAATGCCCACAGTCACTGGTGAGCGTGTATTTTCTATATGGAACTCCAACATGCACAGGTTCAGTGTGTACATGTACAAAGTAGATTGCCAGCACAAAATGATCCAGGGTCTTTTGTGCAGTCCTCTTCACTGCATTTGGCTTACTGCACAAGGATGCACATGAAACAGTGAAGCACAGTTGTTGGGCAGCACAAAAGTGCAATCTGATATTCCTGTGACGGACTCTTGGTGCAGTGCACAACACAACACAGCTGTGCTTCTTTGAGGTGTTTACCAAATGACCCAAAGAGTGACTTCAGCATAGGAGGGTTAAACCACATACAAAATCAGTTGCAATAACGCACACAATATTGTTCATTATAATCACCAAAACAGCTTCTCACATCTAGGAGTATCTCCAGCTACGATTTAGCAAGATTTAAGAGACAAACAATAGTTCTTGTCCTGTCAAAAATTTCTATTCGGGACCTTTAAATATTTTAATGAATAATTTACTTTTTGAACCATAAGATTTCTGTCAGTTTTCATTTGAATCTGCCAGAAACAAGCCTCCATGTGCAACTTTTCAAAACTTTCAAATTTTTAAAACACGAAAGAAAGTTCTCCCTTTCTTTTCATGAATTTTGCATTTGAACATTCACATTTGGAAAATAATTTTCAAATATTCAGATATTCCGCAATCTGTATCTTAATAACCATCTCAGAAATGGCAGGAGATCCTTAATTGAAGTTCTGAGCATAGAGAACACTGACGGATATTGATTACCTTCCTAACGTATAATTATATATATATTCCTTAATGTTTTGACACAATTTGAGACTTGAGACATCATTGCTGCATAACACAGCACTCATGTACATTTAACCCCTTGACGACGGGAATTTCTTCCCGAAAGCCGACTTCAAGAATTCCAGCCTCGCTTGGCCACGAAGGCCACCTGCCACACTGCAAATTCTCGATTTGTGGCCCTGCTGCTCTGCACGCTTTGAATTACCCGGTGAAAAGGCTGATTGTTCGGTGGCATGCGGCTCTACTCACCCTTCCACATTCCCGTTGCCTCTTTTCAAAGTGGGGACTATTGTGAAGCTGGTGATTATGATGCAAATTCGGTCTTTTCATTTCTTGGCTACGCACAAAGGCCAATCACCATATATACAAGAGCCAGGGTCTGCCTTCTTTCACCGTGTTCGCTCGAGCGTGGGCCAAGAATAATAGCTGAAAAGCGGGCTGAGGATCTCAATTTTTACGGCGTGTCTAGCCGCCTCCCGGCGCAAAGGGGTTAACTTCAGGCACACATGCATTTGGGCAAGTCGAAGCACCCTATCCACGCCGAGTTGAAGAGCACCCTCAGAGGCAAAGAAGAGACCATCGGTTGGAAAGGTTTCCAACCGAGCTCATACGAGAACCCGGTGCACATGCAAAAATCGTACGACCACAAACCGGTCACGTGTGCTGAGCATGTCACGCAAAAAAATGCGCATGCACGTGGTAAGTTCTTAGCAAAGGACTATGCCAAAATTTGCCCTTTCTTATTCCAGTTCAAGGTGGACTGGCCAGGGAGTTATTCAATAGGAGCGGTAAAATCTATTTTTCTCGCGAGTTGTCTGCTCTCGATGTTAAGAGCCTCAAAGGACACCACTGTGCTTTTACCAGGCAGAATATCCGTTACTGCTTGCCTTTGCAAACAGTCAGGGTTTAAGACAGCGAAGATCTACATATTTAAGGTTAAAGTGTAGATGCGCACCATTGAGTCGGCTGATCTCTTGGTTCTTGCGCTCCAGGACTTTCAGCAGCTCGCCCTTCTCGTACTCCAGGAGTTCCACGTTGCGGCTCAGCTGCTTGTAACTGAGGTTGCTGCCCTCGCTCGAGTCCCGGATGCTGGCCAAATCCTCTTTGCTCTGCCGGAGCTGCTCCTCTGTCAAAGTGACCAAAGAACGAATAATTGACACAATTTATGGGTAGTATGGGAACCGAGTACCATACTGAAAGGAAAGATGAGTATCTGGCTACTCAAAACCTCACCCACAAATTCTAAGAAAAGAGAAGAATGCAACGTGAAAAATGAAATCCGCATAGCAAACTCTATCTCACTCAAAACTCAACCTCTGGACATAAACATAAAAATGTGTTTTAGCATTCCAGGTACAATGTACATGTAGCCTGTTTTTTGTTTAAAAAAGTTCCCTAATGAAATCCCTTTTAGCCTTTGGTTCTGCCTTTACCGTAAAGAATTCTATAAGAATTTCCAACATCAATCATAGGCAGTTATGGGTAATTGGTTCCATAACATGTAACCTATTTTTCACATCATTGGTCAGGTACTCAAGTAACCGGTTCTGATGCACAACCCTTTTGATCGATTAACTGAGTAACCTCATAACGTTTGCAGGCCTAGCCTGAACAGATAATCTCCAGCAAGTACCAACATCTTCAGTTCTGAACTTAATTCTAAGGTACATAGCCCACAGTACGATGCACAGTACCAGTCTTACCGAGTCGCGCATTTGAAGCCTTCAGTTCGTCAACACTGCCAAGTGACGACTCCAACTTGGAGCTGGATGCAATCAGCTGTTTTTCTAACTCAAAGTAGCGTTGTTCTGTCAATTGGTGTAATGAACAATAATCCAAGGTCATCAGGGGTAAGAAAGTAACTTGACGTTTCCACCAGGATGCTCTGGGGCCCGGATGGGCCGACTGGGGCCCATCCTGGCAAAACACCAATTTCACACTCATTGATTCTTCTCAGAGCCACCACTCATATTGAAGAGTCCCAAATCCTCCGATTTCAATCTGATTTTACATACACTCCGGGGGGTTAGGGTTATTTATCAGACTTTGACACGTACAAGACTGGTCAAAAAAATTTGAAGTACTTCTAAACAAATGCTTTGACATTTTCCCTGTTTGGCTCTGCAGGGCATTTTTATATCACTTTCTGATGGCTGATACACCACTCGGGAAGAAATTAATGATGTACTTATATGCATATATATGGAACACTTCCCCGTCATGCCCGTCAGTGTCCATCGCTGTACACACAGCGGAAAGAATTCCATATGTATACGGACATCACTTTGCACCCTGTGTAGAAACCCATGAGACTGGCCTGAAAAGTGTTTTCTAACATGCCCAAGTCAATGAGAATCCCTAAATGTTTTCACAGTTAAATCTGACTTGACAAGATAGGCATGATAGGGAATGTTACTACTTTAAATGTCTGCTAGGCAATGTAACTGCAGGGATAAATAGTCGGGGTCCACATGGTATGCACAGGATGCCTATTAGGTTTTACGTTTTTGTTCCTGGACTGCAGCGTCATGATATGAGTGTCCTTGGGTGAGGATTGTGGATTTGTGGACCCTCCTGTTTTTAGTTACTTCTACTAATAAAGGTTGGCCCTGAAAAAGAGCAGTACTCAGACGTTTCCTGATTGTCATGATCCCATTTGGGTCGCATTTGGAAGGGTAGATTGGGAGAAAAATGCAACTTTCTTCCCTTATGTCCGTTGATATAAACGCAGTCAACTTGACACACACGCACATGGCAGATTTGATGGATGACCTTCGGCTGGTCTCTTCAATACTCTTACTCCCTAACCTGCTTTTTCGACCAATCAGGGATCGACTTTCTAATGAGACCTTCCAGTAACCAATTAGAGACACTATACTAAGCAGGTTTGACAATATCGCCATGTGGATGTGTGCGTGTAAGTGTTATCTTTAATACTCTTACTCCCTAATGGACTCATCTCAACCAATCAGAGATCAGCTTTCTAATGAAACTTTTCAGTTTCAAATCAGAGACACTCTACCAAGCACGTTTCACAATATTGCCATGTTTATTTTCGGTGGATGCGTGAATGCACAGGCTTTGTCAATGTCGTAGTTTTACCCCATAATTTCCCTAAAAAAAATCAAAACCCTGCCCTCTTTCTACAAAATTAACGCTGCAGTTCAGCGAAAAAAAGTCACTGTCATCTAGTTAGGCCATGAGAATAGAAGTTGTAAATTTGCATCTACATGTAACAGTTTCAAAAACACATGAGGTACATGTATTTTTCATTTTTCATTATTATTTTATTACAACCTCCAAGTACAGACTCTTTTCAAGTAGAATCCTGCCGAACTACAACCAAAAGCCTCACTGAGGGACGACCTACATGTAGGCCCTGCATCACTTCATGGATCAGGTCAAATAGGGATCTGAAATATCAGTGTCCAACTCAGAAACAGTTCCATATACGGACAACTCTTGATGTCCCTGTGCACAAACCTTTGAGACCTGTCAGAAAAACGTGTTTTCTTTGTAAATGCTTTGGAACTTTCTTAGCTAAATTTCACATTTAGGACGTTATCCCCTTCTGATGTCTGTTGCAACATTTTGAATGGAAAATTAGTGTTGTCTGTATATAAACTCCTTCCTCCAGCTCTATCTGAAAAACTGTCTACATGTAAATGTTTTGGAATCAACGGCTCAAGGACAATCCTCCCACTCCCATGTCGGGAGCGTAACACCTGGACATACATGTATGAAAGCCATCTAAACTGACCTACATTAATGTAAGTATGTATGTGTTTTATAGAGCTGCTAGATTTGGAACCGATTTTTGTGATTTTGATTCTTTTTCTTACAAATAATGAAATGTTTGTAAATAATGATTTTTGGGGACGGTGGCATGGGGACATGCGGGCGGTGGACGCCGATCTATAACTTCTATTCTCATGCTCGTGGTCTGACACCCGGGGAACTTCTGTACATTACTGAATAGCACAAGGGGTAAATTTGCCCCTTTGGTGTGTGTAGTAAAAGTCCACAGTGACGTCACACGGCCAGCGAGAATGGCCTTGGCCGACAGAGACATGAACAAATGAATGAGGGTGCTGTTTATTTGAAAACTCATTATCTTAAATACGAAATTGTGATTAAAATTTGTTTTATGCATGCTGTAGCTCTTCTATTCAATTTCCAGTTTCAAATTTTTTGAAATTTGAACTGAAGCCAACATTTGATTCATTGAAATAAGGCACAAATAAGAACAAGGATTTTTTAAAATACGAATTTTGAGGTTTTCAGTTAAAATACGCACTCATTTTTGCATACAAAATGATCAGATTTTGCTCTGCATTACACACGTACAAAAAACATCTCGAAACATCCCCACTTCAAATTCGATTTTTCTTTGCTTTGCAGAGTCCGATGGAATCCAAATTAATATCAAAATATTTTTTACATCGTCTTCACGATAACTTTAAAAATAACACAGAAAAATAAATTCAGATTTATTAGCCTCCTTACCTTAGGTGAGCCTGAAAGCTTAAATCTAATTCTTTTTCTATATGTACATGTATATAGCAAAGAGGTCTGGAAATGCACAATCCCCATCATGTGTAATGTATTTTGCCTACATGATATAGGCTGTTGCTGCAATTACAAGCTACATGTAGGCCTAATCATGAATTTCCCAATGCAAATGCAATGGTATGCCATGATGGTGGACATTACTAACATTACATGACTAAGGCTGCATCCGAATCTGTTGTCTAGAGCTAGGTCTAGGTCTTCGCTCCATTGGAAATGTGTGGAGACACAGAAACAATAGACCTAGCCGTAGCTCTGCAACCCCGTTTCGGACACGGCCTAAGACTCTTCTTACTCAGTCTTAGACATGTTAGACAATTAGGCTAAGCTGCTATTCCATTGCTAAGGTTATAATCATACTAGTAACACTAAGCATGCTAAGTTAATAAGCACAATAAGTAGGACTAGTAGTAGTACTACTCAGTAGCATGACCTGATTACGAAACTGTTCAGTCATATTAGCACGCCAGTGAGCAGGCCGTTAGTCAGAAGGTGGGCCCTGATCAAACTTACATTGTAGCGATCTAACCTTTCAACAAGTGCAACGAATCTGTCGAGCGATGTCTACACTTTGTCCGAAAACTGGGCAAAAGCTAACTCGAGGAACTAGTCTGGTACACATGCACAGTAGGCATGTTGAGGAATAAACTCACCAGAATTCACTTTAAGTTTCTCCAGTTTGGTCTTCAACCCATCTTGAGCAGTCTCCTTCGAATCAATAAGGGCTTCAAGCTTTTCTCGAACATTTTGCGGCACCGAATCGATTTCTGCCGAGCTCAGGACAGCAGTCAAAAATTTGAGTTCAGCATGTTCGCCCGCCATCGTGCTCGCCATTTTAAAATTAGCTACAGTGTCTCTTGTTTGACAATTCAATACACACATTTATCGATGGTGTGCTTTCCTTTACATTCCTTGCATTTATATGTAATAGATTACGACCTACACACATGCATTATATATTACTTCAACTGTTTTCCCCAAAGATATGAGTAAAGTAGGATGAAATTACTGCAATTGTTGTGATTAGAAAATATCTTAATGACACATTGGATACTCCGTAATTAGGGCTATAAACAGCCGTCGGCGCAGCAAACTCAGCGGCTGTTGAATCTGGCTAATATAACCACAGATAAAATCCGTTATCGCGTGAGGTTTACACATCTGGCCCGGGCCCGGGGGGGCGTTTTGACGAGGATGGGCTATTGAATACCCCCACCCCCACACAAACTTTTCCATAGTGAGAAAAAAATAAGACGGAAGATTTTTTTTGACTTGCTAACTTGCAACGAAAATGTATTCAACAGCACTCTAAAATCAAAAAGGGAGAACACTTTTTCAAAGCCATAAATATGCTGCTCTGATGTAATATTCTCGAGGAATGTAATACGTAAAAATTTAAAGAGGTACGTCTGTATGAACATCGCCCCCATATGAGTGTCATATGGTGTCAGCCCCCCCTCCTGCTTTTTAAATGCCCGCATAGATGGGAAGTCATCGACCCATGATTCCGCACCACCCCCAATTCCAACACAAACCTGCGTCACTGGATGTTGTATACAACTCTATGAGCCAAATAACAATTTATAATTGTCAAATCTATCAAAAGTAACAAGTCGGTTCGAAAGATATTTAACTGTAGAAATGAACTGTGGCCTAAGTCTTTCTTCTCACTGTTCAACCCATGGGCGTAATTAGGGAGTGTAAGGATATATTATCATATCCATATCCCATGACACTTTTGAGGGGATGGGCTATTGAATCACCCCCCCCCCCATGCACACTTTTGAGGTGGATTAGAATATTTCGGACCTTCCAACGACCAAAATGTATTCAATAGCAAGGGGAGCAACATTTCAAAAGCCATACGTTTCTCTGTCAACTGGTAAAAGTCAGCAGCGTATCCATTCAGTTTTTGGTGTCTGGGGCAAATTCAAAATCGACTGCTGCTTCGGGCTCATTCAACATGATGTTGGAGAGAAATAGAAAAACCAAAAGCCTCACTCGAGGTTCCGACATCCTTGCTTTATTTGCTGGTGGTGTTTTCTTAGGGCTTTGGTGCTAATATTTTGAAAAGTAAATAATAACTATTTCTTTCTTTCCTAATCACCTATGAAGTATTCTTTGTAAAAAAAAAATCCGTGCGGGGGGGCATCTCGATATTTAACTTAAAATGGGCTTGAAAGTTCTGCTTGAAAGTTCTGCCCGGTTCCATCGCCATTACCAAACTTAAATGTATATGTGCTCCCCCCCCCCATATGCCACTGTTACAAGTTTCATTGCCATGTTTTGACAGTTTGAGGGTAATTCGCTAATGAAGGCGAGAGTTGGGGTCCGGTCACGCTTCCTATTTTGGCAATTTCCCCATTGTCCGTTACTTGTGACCGAGCCAGTGAAAGGCGCTGATGTGAGACACCCGATTCCCTTGCTGTGAGGTACTTTCTAGTCTGAAGATATCGATAGAAGTGTTGAAACATAAGTTAGGGGTCTATCCAGAGTAAACTGCACCACTCTTCGGCAAAGGAATAGCTGCCGAAGTGCAGTCATTTATGGATGGCCAGTCATATTGGAATGTACATAGTGGGTCGAACATAATTTCTCGGGGGGGGGTTGAATAGGACGAGGCACATATACGTGTAAGTTTAGTAATGGCGATGGAACCGGGTAGAACTTTCAAGCACGTTTTAAGTTAAACATCGAGATGGTCATTGCTGTGCTACATGTGTTGATGGAACTGCTTTTCACAATATGCATGTGCGACCGATGTCAGACAAGTAAATTTCATACAATTGACGAAGGTGGGTTGATCTTTGAACCATCGTCGTTCTCCCATCGTCCAACCATCGTTGTTACTGTGTTAGCTATAACTGACTTTTTAATTAAGTACTAAGTGGAATTATTTCAGGGCCGCCATTGCCAACTTTCATCCCGAGAGTGTATCTGGTCCTGAGAAGGGATAGGCCAATGGGTCCTTTTTCTGAGCCGATAATTATCCAAACTTTTTCAGTCTGTCTAGCAGAATCGTCCGATATTAATACCGTGTCGCCTGTCGGTACTTCTGAGTCATCAAAAGAGATTTTTAAAAAGGCAATATGTCGGGGGTGGGGGTGTTGATAAGTCACTAGCTGTGATCGGAGCTCCCGTAGCTACTGGTTTTTCACAGTTTAACGACAGCCTAGAACTTGTATTTGCCAAAAAACTTGTCTCGTCGATATTGTGCGGTGTTTTCAACATGTGCTTTCGTATTTTTTCCATGGCTTCTGGGGTCGGTGTGGGAGGAGGGGCGCTAGACCTGTGGTCGTTTGTAATCCCCAAGGGAATTCTGATTCTGAACGATAACTATTACGTAACTGTTAGATAAGTACATGATAGCGGCTCCAACACTGATTGCTTGTCCACGGTGCTCTCGAGACACGTCTGAAACAGGGCATTTTTTAACCCTAACTTATAGGGTGTGTGCAAAATCGTACTGAAATCAGAGAATTGAAGACTACCATGGTTAGTGCAGTTCTGCGAGACTACCTTCCATCGTTTTTCCTCCGGTGTGCTCCAACTGATGCTGGCCGAGGATCTACGGCCATGATTGACCCGTGGACAGTTATACTCCTCGGTCTGTGCGCGGTCCTGGGTGTGCTACGGTGGCACCTGGCTGGCCGAAATCCCGTCGCCGCTAGAAATCTCCCCCGCATGCCGTTTACATCATCTCTGGCCGATGCGTTCGAGGACATCCGCATCACTGCCCATCTGTTTCAACAGGGTTTGGGTCAGCCGCACCATATGCTCAACAGGTAAACTACAAACACGCTTGCACGAACGTAGATGTGATGTTCTCTCAGGCACCGAGCCTCGATTTGGCATTAATTTGTGTACAAAAAATGGACTCTTTGAGGTCGTGAAATTTGATTCCCGTTTCTTTGGCAACTTACTGATGATGAAGAAGCATAACTATGGCAATAAGCTGGCGAGCAACCTTGCAAAAATGTTTTGACAAGCCAATACAGAGTCTACAGTTTTAATATTAAAAAAAGGTAGGCCTAATTGCAAATGGGAGAGGTGAGTGGCGGGGTATTCTGCAATTGTGCCAAAACATGAAACTAAGTGTCTTCAGTGATAGCGATTTACAACACAGCAATAGTGCCCTCACTTGTCCAGACGAGCTTGGGCAATCCTATTGCACTTTTCACCGCCCAAAAAGAATCTTCACAGTTTTCGTGCCTTGATGAAGAAGAGCAAGATGCACACAAAGTGAGTCTAAAATAATTTATTGCACGGACCCTTTAAAGTGGGCGTAATGTACGCGTGATTTACGAGGCAGGGTGGGTGGAGGCAGAGTGTACCGAAATAACCAGTCATCACGGTGATTTATAGTTGTACATGTACATTGCTTTGTTTTCTCCAGAAAAACAGGAAAGAGTTACACATACGGAAAACGCTCATTTTCCCTTAAAATGTTATAACAGCCTTCAGAAGGTGATGTCCTAAAAAGTGACATTTAGCTGACAAAATTCCAAAGCATTTACTTAGAAAACTCTTAGTTTTTTCAGACCAGTCTCGCAGGTTTGTGTCATCAAGTGTCCGCATATGGAACTCTTTCAAAAAATGTCCGTCAAGCAAGGAGAATGTAGTGATCTTTTGTGTCCTCAGAGCGTGGGGTACCGGATATATCATGTACGTTAACGGGGCGACAGAAATATGTTCAAACTAATGCAAAACTTATTAGGCCTAACCCAACCAACTTTTTCAGCAGTTGCATAAAAGAATCCCATCCCTTAAAAAAACAAAGATAAAATACCAAACTAACTAAAATCATGCATGTAGAATTCTCCACACTATAAATTCATGAGTCCGAAGCGTGACACATGTTTACGTACTGGCTTCGAGGCATTCCAAAATCCATAAGTTCATGGCTTCCCATTCAGACTGTGACGCAATAATTATAATAGAAAGATAGCCTTTAGACCAGTTAAAGGTGAAACGAAATAAACACCGTGCGCGGGTGAGCGTGAACGTACTTTTGAACAATCAACGTCGATACACTGCAGACTCGTGAAGAAAGGAATAGTCGATTACGATCGAACAGGGGCTCCGTTGCGCCTCTAACAAGAAGAAAGCGGGGCTTCTTTCTAAGTTTGTGTCTGCCGTGCCTTTCTGCTGCGGGTCTCGCTGGTCAACGGAGCTGGCTCCCCCGGTATGAATTCACCGGGCGGCAGGCTTTGGGGACCGATAGACCCGAGGACGGGCCTGCTGGCGCTGGCGGTTTTCCTCGTCGTGCTGTGGTTCCGCCGCTGGCGACCGTGCAAGAATCTGCCCCCTTCCCTGCCGGGCTCGTGGCGGTGGTCTCTTGCCGACGCCGTTGATGACATGCGCATTACACGTGACATCATCAAAAAGGGATTGGTCCAGCCCCATCAGGTTTTTACAAGGTAAATGGTCAGTAGGAATTTCAGAAATTTTAATAACCCGAAGCAAAACTCTCCATGGAGGATCAATCCATGATCATTGATTCATTTTGATTTATCCAACTGTACAATTGTGTTGACTTAAGTCCAGGCCAATAGGGGAATAACTGATAGGCCCTATTCCTCTCGTATTTCTTCTTTGGGTCAAAACAAGTCATAAAATCATCCGCAACTTTACGGTAACTAGAAACAAAATATCTTGATGGGGAAAATGTTGGTCATGTCCAACCCACGCCACCTTCATCGGGGGGATTTACGCCAGTGATGTTTTATACATGCACTATTAAATCATTCTTCGCCATAAGCATTTACATCTTGAAAACAAATTCAGACTGATAATTACGTGGTGGTATTTTTTCAAAATTCACCAACAACATCATGCATGTTGTAAGCAGTCAATGACCAGAAGCTTTTTCGAAAGCACCAAATATTGAGTTAATGTTTTCCCAATATTGTTGTAATTGTAGTTCCAACACAATTTAGTATGATGTTGTAACTTTTGCACCAACGTGTATGCACCTTTCTTACACCGAGGTATGTCAAACGGCTCGAAATTAGTCTAACTCGTAATAAACGTGAGGTAACGAAAGGCGCGCTATGGGCACGAATAGAGAAAGTTCATATCAAATGTTTTCCCGTAACTATCACGTGAGTGTAGGCCTACAAGCGTACCAAAGCCAGCGCTCTTGATCAATACTGTTAAATAACAGACTTGGTAATGTATAGATTTACAAGGAAGCAAGGAATAAAAGTGCACCAAAGTTTTGCATCTTCCTTAAAACAACAGTTCCTGTTCATGAAGAAATATCAGCTGCGGGAATGTCCTCAATGTGTGGTGTTCCGTGGGGAGCCGTCGATACCCAGGCGGTTCTGCTGATCGTCCTCGTGTTTCTCGGAGTACTGTGGTTCCGTTTTCGCAGGCAGATAGCCGGCAACTACCCGCCCGAGACTGCCTTGGGGTCCCTCGCGAACGTGGCCGAGTGCCTTCGCATTTTCCGCGACTTGTCTGTCGAAGGGTCAATACAACCGCATCGGATTTTTACAAGGTAAAAAAGGTTGTCTGGTCACAACAAAGACGCCTATTCAACACACTTTTATTGTCTTGTGTGGGACAAAACGCTGAAATGAGTCCGCTCGTCACCCAGTGCCCGAACCCCTGGAAGGGCTGATGGCTTTTCACTGTGATTGGCTACACCGTGCACGGCCGCGAGGTTGTCACTTCCTGTTAGCGAAGCGTTACTTTGAGTTTTTAGATTGGCCAGTGGCAATGCTTTGGAACGGGCAAAGTGTCGGCTATTATGGTAAAAACATGGCCACGGGTACAATCACGGTGTGTTATCTTCTCACTAAGTATCACTGATCATGTGTCTTTGGGCAATTTATTTCACAGCATTGGTTGTCTTCACCAATTTTGGATGAACGAATAAAAGTATAATAAGAAAAAGGAAAAAAAAATGATAAAAGCCACATTGAGCGCGTAGCGCGCCTGGCAGAAATTTACCCACAATGCTCTGCGCGTCGCCATTCGCCGTGACCCCGTGTGACGTATTTCCTTCACTGTGCAAGGCCATCAGAGCCCTTCCCAGCGCCCTGTTCGGGTGCTGGGCGAAGAGCGGAGGATGTTTCTTTTCTTTAGTGGGGATGGTTAAATAAAAATAGGCCTACAAGCACAAACTAGCAGTTCACAAAGTGTGGGACTGCGCACATACAGGCCATGCTTGCAAGACTTGGAGTATATTAGCGACATTTATAGGGAATTTGAAAATGGGAATTACTTCAGAAAATTTAAGAGCGCATTATCCGAACGAAATGCGACTGTGTTGCGCACGGCTTGCCATGCGCATGAGTTTTGGGGTCCTGACTTGACGGGAGTCAATATTCTATACCACACTGCAAAAATGCTACTGCGGGCAGAGGGTGTAAAATAGAAAATCAAACGTGCTATGTTACATCCTTTTGAATGCTTGATTATAAAGGACCAGTGCAATGAATTTTCTTAGCACTTTTTGTGCATATTTAAAAAATTCTTCAATGTCAGAATAAATGGTTGAAATCTTTTTGTAAAGTGCATTTTCTTCAACATTCCCAATCGAACAAGAGAGGGCGCTGCTAATGTATGTAAATCCAGGAAGACACTCTTTTGTTTGGGTGTTTTCATATTCAAATTAAAAAACACAAGATTTACTCTTGAAAACATTTCTGGGGCTGGGAAGGTTGCTCACTGGTTTATTGCCACACACACAACAATAAATTGCCAAAGGAAATACAAATCTTCGGCTGTGAAGTAGGCCACCCAAAACCTAGCAATTTTTGTTTACAACTGCATGCAACACTGAGGTTCCGTGCCTCAGATAACATCACATTTTGGCTAATGGATATGCACATTCATGGAACCCCCCCCCAGGCCCCAAGATACAGATACAAATATAAATATAAAATCGAAAATAAGGTTAAAGTGAAACACAAAGATTGAATTTCAGGAATTTAGTGAGCTGTTTCTTACACATGGTCCCTTTAAAAAATATTCAACGTGAACCATTTTCGGCAGTTGTGTAAGGGTTGAATTCGAGTTTAAGTTCGCCACGTTAAAGTACAACATGACAGTGTTTGACAAGACTGAACTTTATACTTCGTTAGTCAATGTGAAGGCCGATTGCTAGCAGGGTGTAGAGTTCAGCGTCTACCCACATGAACAATTATTTTTCAAAGTTCATACTTAAAGGTACCTGATGCTGAAAAACACAGAACGGCAAAAACATGCTTTGGGGTTGCTGGTGCACGTGCAACCGCTGCAAGTCCCCGGCATTTTAATACAAAATTGGTTTGGACCATGAACATTCCATGTTATTTCAACGGAACTCGCACGCGCAGCGGCCCCTCACAACATCCTCTATACACTAGCATGCAAATTTTATGTGACGTCTTTTCCGTCTGAAAAATGTGCCAACAACTGTTCACTGGTGGTCAGTTGACCACATCAGCTGACTGCATGTTTTTGGATAAGCCACCAAGTTTCCAAAACGAAGGCTCTTCTCACACGGACGTTGATTGGTCAAATCCCAGAGGTCAAGGCCCTTGCATAATTATTCAGCAGACATGCTCAGGCGTCATAATATACAACCATGATACAACCAACTATCCCACAGACCATTTTGTGCCACCAAAACCAGTGAATAGATTAAATTCTTTCAAGATGTGCCTCGGTGGACTTTGAGGGATCGGAAGAAGGGGTGGGGTGAGGGTTAACGAAATTTAATGAAATTCCTGTCATGCATGTGGTTGGTTTGATCTATCTTCGGGCGAGAATGCTATTACACCCAATCCTCGAGTGCGAGTTTAGACGCGTGCCATAATTATATGTCATGACAAATTCTCACCTGTTAAAGTGATAACGTTAGGTCTGAACGTCTGAGAACAGAAGGGGTGCCTGAATAACTTCCCACCCATACGGTCGTCGATTAAAGTGCTATTTCATCATTTGTCCCAATGCACTGAATGTTCCAGCGCACCGTAAAAATAGAACATCCTAATTCACCTGTCTCCTGATTTTTTTCCCACTGCATTCTGAAACAAGCCCTCTTACCAGACGACGCATCCGAGTGGCCAACTGCAGGTACATCAGTGGCAAAGGCTTATTCGGCTTTTGGTGCTTGCAAAAACGTTCGAATATGCAGACATGTCAAACGGTTTAAGATTGTCAATTTGTTTAGTTCTATTTTCCTTTTCGTGCTTGTCTTTTGATGGCAGACCTCTATGATTTTAAGGGAAACATTTCAGATGTACAAAATAAACAAGAACAAAATCGGCCGGGCCGGAAAGTGGAAAGGTTTTTGCCCATCTTCTCTATACTGGATACGCATGAACTGAGAGGGCTCTCTGTGAAATTGGCGTAGTCTTAACTCCTTAGGTCCGACGCCAAGAAAGTTCACTCTGTGGGGAGAACAGGTGTTTGGGAAATACATGTAAGTCACGAGCAACTCTATCTGCAGATGTGATTAATGTTGCCAGAGAATGTCTCGAGTTCTCAGCCGAGGAAAACCATTTTCCACGGTAACTTTTGTTCCGATTTGAAAGTGAAAATCTCAGGTCTGTGTTCTCCCTGGGCCTGTTGCTGACATCACCATGTAGATGCCGACCGTGAGGGGCGTAAACTGGGGTGACTAAAATTTGGGGGAGGATGAACACGGGGTTTACCCATATTGTTCCAAATAGGGGGGGGGCTGACAGCAAATGAACAATGGATTTTATACAGACGAATCCGATGACCGTTTACCACGGTCATGGCAGCTGCAATGGCCCTCACCAATGCTGGACCCCCCGGTGAAACTCCAGGTGAATTTCAAAGCTCAAGAACCCGTCAGCTATGTAAGTCTAAATCAGCCCAGTTTATTTTCCTGGTATGGTTTTTTCTTCGGCACTAGGTTTTCTAAGAAGTACGGACCCGTGTTCAGCGTGACCCTCCCGTATGTCCGCATCGTCATCCTGAGCAGCTACGACGCCATTCGCGAGGCTTTCCAGAATCAGTTCCTAAACGACAGGCCCGTCATCCAGGTCCTGAAGCATGGGGTCAAAGGTCACGGTATGTCCCCTCCCTGCTGTCTTCTCCATTCCCCCCCAACTTTGTTGAAGTTCCCTTGCGCTTATGCCAAGAAAAAAAATTGGCTAGCCTACTCTGCCTGCTTGACGCTAAAGAAGACTGACGTCCAACGTTGAAACTGTGCCGGAGGAAAATAACTTTTAAAATGTTTATAGTAAACCCAACCTCAGCCCCCCATGTGATTAATTTAGAAGCACTAGAAGGAGAGAGTACCACTTCAAAAACACCGAACTTGGATATAAAAATTGACGAAATCAGCAGTTTGACTGCTGCCTCTTTTTTCCTTTCAATGGTACTCTCTCAAAGTTCCATATTTCACTTCTACCATAAAAATTGACCTCGTAGGAGCCCTACAGAGTTGACGTTTCCAAGGTCCAGATGTCAATTAATGTTCGAGGAAATCACAAAATATTCGAACCACTCTAACACATTTGAGTCATCCCCACTTTAACTATTATGCTTTGTGTACTAAATTTGTGTTCATATCAATCAGAAGCTCAGTCGGCCGAAAATCTTTCCGATTTTACCGGTTCGACGTTCACCGATTCACCGGTACGGTTTTTGTCCATCACTGCCGTTGAAAATAATGAAGAACGTAATTAGCAGCAAATCGTTTGATACACATAACCTCAGAACACTTCGCCCAGGTTCTCCAGCGTGTGCGTTTTCAAATATTTCCCTGATAGTTTCTATGAATATCAAAGAAGCGAAGAATTCTTAAAAAAAAAAAAAAACCGCATTTGCACGCATACCGGTACTGCTTTCCAGGAGTTGCTTTCTCCTCCGGAGAAACCTGGAAAGTCCAGCGGAAGATGGTGCTGAACTTCCTTCGGGCCTTTGGCGTGAATCGCACCAGCTTCGAGGAGAAGATCGCCCTGGAAGCTAGCCACCTCAACGCCGAGCTCCAGCAGCTGGGCGGCCGGCCCTTCGACCCCTCTCACCTCTTCGCCAACGCCGTCTCCAACATCATCTGCTCGGTGGTCTTCGGCCAGCGGTACGAGTACTCGGACCCGCGGTTCAAGAAGCTCCTGCGGGCCGTGTACCGCAACGTGGCCATCATCGGCGGCAGTACCGGCCCCCTCCAGATGCTACCCTTTGCTTACCTCTTAAAGGTAATTTCCCATGAACAAACAAGACAACAACACGATCCCAGACAAATTTTTAACATCGAACAGTTCAAAACTGCACTGCAATCTCAGAGCATATGGCCTAACCGATCTGCAAGGTTAGGCCAACAGATCTCCCTGTTTCCCCCCAAATCTCTCTGTTTCAATGATTATTAGCTCATTATACTCATTAAAAATGCAAATTCGACTTGTGATCACGTGGTATTCCTTCCATCTCAGACATGTCTGAGGTAATTAATTTTGTAAGTGTGAGACGACACATCTCAATGACTATGGTTTACAAGTAACAGAGCTAAGAATACCAGATAAACGTGGAAGAATTCCCACCTAAAGATCAATTTTTGGGGGCCTTCTCGTAATGGTTTCAACCAATATTGCTTTTGTTTTGTTGTCATTCTTCCCTTGATGCTATTTCCATACAGCCATTCCTGTCTGTTTTGAAAGAGACGGAAGATAATGGAAAGTTGATCAACAGCTTTGCAAGGGACGTCCTTGAGGACCACCAGAAGGATTTTGACCCGAAGAATCCCAGAGACTTCACCGACGTCTTCCTCCGGAAAATGGCCGCTGAAGGCGCCGGAGACGACAACGGCACTGACAACAACAACGAAGACGACGAGTCCATCCTGAGCGTCCACAACATGTGCGCCACCGCCTCGGACCTCTTCATGGCCGGCACCGAGACCACCTCCACCTCCCTGCGCTGGGGCCTACTGTACATGCTGGCATACCCGGACGTTCTGGCCAAGGTTCAGCGGGAGCTGGACTCAGTGGTGGGCCGCGACCGGCTGCCCACCATGTCAGACAAGCCCAGGCTGCCGTACACGGAGGCCACCCTGATGGAGCTCCAACGTATCGCCAACATCCTGCCCCTGGGGATACCCCACCAGGCCTCGCAGGACACCACCCTCCAGGGCTACGACATCCCCAAGGGCAGCGTCATTATGCCCAACATGTGGGGCTTGTCCACCGACTCAGAGCTCTGGGACGAACCCGAGGCCTTCCGGCCCGAAAGATTCCTGGATGAGACGGAGCAGAACGTGATCAAGCACGAGGCACACATACCATTTAGCATTGGTAAGATTAACCTATCATATCGTGAACTTATCTCAAACACTGTACACAATTAAAGAACTTCACTTTGATATCAGCCAAGGTTATCGGAAGTTAACAATCCAGACACGCAAATTCCTTGTTCATTTTAGCCAGTGTCAACTGTTTACGGGAGCAATAACTACCCTTCTCTTAAACATGTTCCTTTCGATACCTGTCCTAAGCTTGCCTACCTCCTCTCAACACTTCACCTAATTCCTTTCTCCGTCAGCATCAACCTCAACCCAGTCCTGTTTCAAGAAACCCAGCCTATACAAACAACTGTGGCACACTAAGTTGTCCTGAAATCGTTACAATAGTGTGCCCCATTGTGATACGCTGCACCAGCAGTTCGACCTTCCTTTTGTAAATCCCCGATCACCTTCAATAGCTAAATATTTACTACATGGATATTACACGTGTAACGCGTTGTGAGCAACTGAACGCTCTATGGAATGCCAAGCTAGTCCCCTGACAAGCAAATGCAAAAACCAAAGCTGAGTCTGTGACCAGCCAATTCTATAATCAGACTGGTGTTTTAATTCCGGTTTCCTTCGCATAAAAGGACATTGAGAAAACTTCTCTCCTCCTGGATGGGCCTCCAGTCCATAACAGGTTGTTCCCCCAGTTAATGTGGGTACCCACTTATATTCCTGGATGGAGAGAGGCACGCAGGGGTGAAGTGACTCGCCCAAGACAACCATCTGTGCCGAACAGCAGGACTCATCTCTGGCCCCCATTTTCGCCATAGGTCACACTGTTCCGTTAGTAACTGTATGCTTCACAAATAACTAGCCTACGTTGGGAATCTCTACTGGTAGAGGATACTGCTTCCAAAAAGAGGAAATGTCAAACTTCTGTCAGCAAAACACAAGCTGGTGTGTCAAACTTGGAATTCAGACTGAACCTGAAAAAAGCTAGAAAGAATTTTACATTCAAACAAGTATGCTACATTTTCACAGCAACCTATTACAACACACTGTTCAACAAAGCTAGATACTAGATCCGAGCCATACTTTCTTTGACACTGTCAAAGACGAACTTATCAACGTGGAATATCAGAAAGTTGGCCTGTTTCAAAACTTTGGCTCTCCGAAGACGGAGTGACCGTAAAATCCATGTCACCCTTCCTCTTTGCAACACAGTACTAAGGATGGCAAAACTCTCCGACTTTGTCCCCAGGGCGTCGCATGTGCATCGGTGAGCAACTCGCAAAGATGGAGCTGTTCATCTTCCTGACGCACCTCTTCCATCAGTTCACGATCAAGAAGCCGGAGGACTCCCCACCCGTCTCCTTCAAGGGGATCATGGGCGTCACCCTGTCTCCCCTCCCGTACAAAGTCTGTGTGGTACCTCGCAGCTAGTAACTGTACACGTAGGTCCACATCCAGTGTGCCACGCCGTTTGACTATGTCCTGTCTTTTAGAAAACAGATCTCTGTATTGATGACGCCACACTCTATAAGATTTGAAGCTTTGTCTGGTTGAGGCTACTGAAAGATGGTTTGCGGGTACACCACGTGGAATCAATTCGTTCGATGTGAGCGTGGTGGTTCTGAGAAGAACCGCTGATTGTGAACTCGACGTCTCTCCTGAGGATGACCAGAGCATTGTGGTCGAAACGTCCAGGTCACAGTCAACGGTCCGTCTCAGAACCACTCCTCTTGTGGAAGATATCAATTCCACATATCTGCAAACCATCTCTCAGTGTGCCACAGTTTATTTTATGTATTTTCACGTGTGCTTTCCTAGCGTGCTCAGTGTATCACGGGCGCCCACTGGCTCTGCACGAAAGTGCCATGCGCACTATGTGTGATGTCATCAGCACATAAGCCTACTGGACAACCGTATTGCCGCTATAGTGAAAGCAGGTTCGAGGTTGGACTTCAGTACAGTTAAACCAAACTTGCTCTACGATTGGAGCAAACGGGGAAAAGTTGACCACAGCACAAAGGCACACCCTGATATTCAGTGAGTTTCAACATTTATTTTTCTTCAATTCGTTAACCTTTATATTCTGTACATAAATCTTCACGTCCAATATCACTCTTGGTTCACAGTAAACTTCAACTCTAAATCTTCCATTTACAAGAAATGACAAGTGTACTGTATAAGTCTACAAATGACAAATACTCAATTATACTATTAAACTAAGACTACAAACTCAAGTTTGTAGAAAGATCATTTGTGCATTTCTTCAGGGCACGTGTTTTTCTTGAGTGCACATATCTGTTGACAAAAACTGTACACCCACTACAGACTAATCATTAATGGCTGCATCCGAATCTCTTGTCTAGAACTAGGTCTAGGTCTTCGCTCCAATGGAAATGCGTGGAGACGCGCAGACAATAGACCTAGCCGTAGCTCTGGAAGCCCGTTTCGGACACGGCCTTAGTATGAAATTACTGCACTTCCAGTAAGCCCTCAGTAATGGCGGGGGCAGTGAGCAAGCTACCGGGTGAAATTTAGTGTACCGGGTCCGAATCCTTTTTCTGAACAAAACCTCTGAGACAATATTACACCTATTGCTAGGAGTTAGAGTACCTTTTAAAAAGTTGTCCTCGCAAAGGTCCACAATCAAAACAATGTGATTCAGTAGCTGTAACAAAGCATTGGTGACCAGATCCCACACCATAAGCTTTAAGAAACTTTTTTCTGATTAGATTTTTTTTATGCACATGTAAAGCTGGGAACCTTCTCCTGGGTTTCCCTTTTGCTGGTGTCAATCAATGTGATATTCTGATGAATATGGATGTTATGAGCAAAAATGTTAATATTACTGAGTTTTTATCAGACCTAGGAACAAAAGAAGTTCACAGGACGTACGGCTTGAAGGCATCGTGTGGACTTCCATTTTTTTCACGCAAGTGTTTTCCCCACTCTGAAAAACTGTTTCAGAGGCATTTGGGGGTCAGAGTTACTTTGTGGCAGAAATGAAGAGGAACAGTCCTGGAAATCATTATCATAAATCCAGCTTGAATGAGTGTTCACAGTAGAAGAAAACTGGAGTACTGTTTTAGAGTTTTCTCGATCATGCAGAGCGAAATAAATGACAACATGAGATATGTAAAACAAGAATGCGTGATTGACGTTCTCCAAGACATGTTCAAACGCCTAGCAGGTCAAACGACAATCAAGCGAATTGGCCTCGTGTTGTTAGGTTGGGTGACAGTGGTTCATTTCCTGAATTTTTCTGTGTTCGTCGGTGCTTGACAGGACAATCAGCATTTCTGGCTTGGTAAACAATTTTGAGATCTCCATCTAGAAAAGCAATGGTTTCACAACCTAAAACAAAGCCTTTTCCATTACCTATCCATGTACTTTTTAATTTCTCCTTAAAAGAAGCACGATTAAATATAGAAACATGTTTTTTTAAACAACTTAATTAAGTGCATGCATTCGGCCTTGTACATGTAAATGCTACTCTCTCAACTCAAAACTCAAATCTGACCCAGTTATTGATGACGTTTTGGTACTCGTATAAAAACCACTTTAGTCCGGGTCCGCAATTTTTGTTGGAACACTGCTTAGATACTCTTTCGATGCTGCCATTTGCAAAAGGTAGAATTCCTTCCCAAAAGGTAGACTGACACAGTCTATCAGTTTCAGCTGTTAGAAATCTAGTTTTTAACTAAGCCTTATAAATAGTTTATGAGTATTCCCAGAAATTAGCAGGGGTCCATTTTTTTCGTGTCCCCGTCACATCTGACGTAGGATTTTGTAAGTTCGGAACACGTTCTCAAATTTCCAGAGTGTTGAATTAATGCAAATTACCTGCCAAACAACTAGTAATAGCAATTATGGTGATATTTCGATGTCAAATAACAAAGGTCAGATGTAACAGGGACACAAAAATGTCACACTTCTGGACCCCTTATTTCTGGAATTACCCTTAGAAAAAATCTACTTAATTTTTTCAATTTCATAGAAGCTGTAAATTGCTCATTTTGGATCATACATGTGCATGTATGTGTCACTGTATACTGTACACATACTCTGACTCATGTATCAAGCCAAATGAAACAAATGGTGAACGGTTGTAACAAATGCTTCCTATAGACCGTTTTCGTGTGATGTCACAATCGTGCTGGACTGTGACGTGTTGGTAATGGTAATGAAAGGATAGTGTTGTGATGGTAATCTACTCATTCAAGATGAACTAGTCAAGCATGCAGTGTTAGCACGAACGCTTGCACGTGGCTGAAGCTGCCCGTAGGAATACATGCGATGACTGTGTCCATGGCGGTCCACCGTGGTGTTATTTAGTGCATTCCAGTCACGTTGGTGAAAAAGGTCTATTTTATCAGCAATCTACAAGTTCCTTAGATTGATTAGCCTATTCATAAGGTCATCAGACCCATTTCAGTAAATCTCCTTCAGCACAAACTCGGCCTCTACCATGATGGGTATTCATCTGTACATCATGGTAGAGAGAGGTAAGTTTGGGTATGATGCCTTGTCCGAGGATAGCATGTAAACTGCAGCTGGATTCTGAACCTCCCCACCCTGCAATGGGAGTCACATCTGAAATGGGCTTGATTCACATGATGGCCATTTTGCATCATGCTCCCCAACTCCAATCCATTTATTTAACACCATGAAATGAGGAGCCCGACTGTTTACTACCTGATTGCCTCAGTTACAGGTATAGAATGCCGAAGTGTGACATCATTTTGAACCAGGAAGTGTAGTGCAAACAAATGGAGTATGCACGCTTATAAATTCATGTGCCTGTTCTCTTTCAGTAATGCCTTTGCCACATGCAATTGTTAGCGTGAGGTATTTACTTCAATATACACTATAGCTTTACTGTAAATTTTTATATTTGTAAATTTAAGGTGACATAAATTTTTAACCATAATGTGGAACTACCCACCGGAGGACAAGGACAAATATCTATAATTTGCCCTTATTGTATCTTCAATCTTATATATTTAGCTTTTAGACAATTTATATGGGGGTGGCCTCACTTTCAATTCAAGATGGCTGACTTGAGCAAAAGGCTTCTTGAGGTATTTGCAAATCTATCTGTCAATCATAAATCCCAAGTCAGTTGACTAAGACCATGAGATGAAGAACGATCAACGAAAAATGTGCGACTTGAACTGAGACTACATGACTAGTCACTGACCTTCGGTAACTTGTTTTCAACTCTCCCCTTGAAAATAGCCTAAAATCAAAGGCCTTAATAGCAAAACAACTGCAGGTAGTGTACAATGGACATACAGGTCGGGTGCTCAGCTGACGAAGATTCAATTCCACATGCATGAACACGTATACCAGTGTAATGTACATGAACAATGCTCCCTTTAGGGCTACAGCAAGTATGCAAAGTATTCATGTCACTGCAGTCTGCCACATGACTGAATGTACATGTACATGTATGTGTACATGGAGTAATATTGACATTGTGCATGGATACAATAGGGTTTCTTTATCAGTGTAAACGAATGGATGTGTGTTTATCTGTTGTGACAATGGGGGAATCTGATTAATTTCAGTCAGTACCCAGGAGTGTGTTTTGTGTTATTTCCTGTTAACTGATCAAACCAACCTGCAGCCTCCATTTCCACAGGCAACAGAGATTTATCTGAAGAAGCCTGAGTATGAACTAGCACTGTCTTGAAAAGTATAATGTGACCCGACCAAACACGTGAGTGTTGAGTTGCAAGAGTCACTTTGAGTTCAAGCTCTTTCAACCAATCTTGCACAATGTGTAACACTAGGAACCTTCAAAGTTTCTAGCTTATGTACATTCCACTTTGAGCAGGATGCTTCTTACATCCAACAAAGAGCTCAAACTGCTCTTTGCAATGCAAAGTATAAACAATATTACAGGAATAATGGCCTGTAGAATTGTTTTATGGGATCTGGTCACATATATTTGGTGCAGGTCCATTCAAAGTGTGCTCTGAAATGTGCAGGACTGAGTGCTGGGTTAAACCAATGGGTAACTAGCAGTGCACAAGAATGTGATCTGTAGGTTTCATCGTTAAGACTTAAGAGCTCCTCTATCTGTGGGCAGGACGGGGATAACACGGAAACCAAACTTGCAGGAGAGTACATATCCAATTTTGATTTCAATGACAAACGTCTGTGAAAAATTGGAAGTCGCCGTAAAAAAGTTATCCACCCATTCAGCAAGTTTACACAATAAGCCGAGTTGCCTATCTGACTGGAAACATGCTGCACCTGATCAATGCATCTACTCGGTGAAGCGTCCAGGTTCTACGCTCGTTTCTAATTAATTTCAGCACTTTCAATAAAAACGAGAGCATTTGTACACGTTTATCAGGATGGGATCCTCAAAACACAGGGTTTTAAAAGCACCAAAGAAGAGTTCTAAAAACAATTGTGGCCCCTATTGAATACTTCATACAAAATTAATTTCACACAGCTACGGTAACATCACTTTTTCAATTATATCCGCACATCACTTTCTCACATACAGTTCACAGGTTGATAAAACCGACAATTTAATCCATAATTGAAACTACACACATATGCAGAAAAATAAATAATGTAAGTGATGAAAATATTGTTCAAACTTACATTTAAGTAGGCTCCTTGAACTTGATGGGAAAAAAGTATCCGCGAGGGCACAACAGTAGCACAAAGAAATCAGTTACAACATGGATGAAAACTCTCCAAAACAAGTCATACAGGTACATGCACATACTGTGCCAGGGCTGCATGTCAACAATTATCTCTTGCATCAACTGGCCGTTCAATTGTCAGCTGGGGAACTGGTTATTAAAATAGCTTTTTCATTCATGCATGGTCACTATGTTTCAATTAAATCGCGCCATAACCCTGTCGGACGCAGCACAGTGCATCAGGTGAAAAAAGTCTGATGCACTTTGACGCGCTTGGCAATCAGCGGCAGCCGAACAAACTGGCCATGTTGAGACAATGGGAGCTAGTCCCATTGAACGATGCCACTGTTGGATCTTGTTGGTGATTGGCAACCCCAGACTCCCAGGCTGTTTGGCCTTGAGGAGAGTTGACCTGTTGGATCTTGTTACACTGGACAGGCAAGCCACTTTGACAAACGATGCAGGCTGATGTGTCTGGCACCATTTCTAGCCAATGTAGGCTGGAGGGTTAGCGTTGAGTTGGTTTCTTATCTTGAATCCAAATACCAGTAGGATAGCAACTCTCTAAACAGACTTGCTAGCAAAGATCATTTAGAATGTCGGGAAACTGAGAAATAAAACGTTAAGATGTGGATGGCCAAGGAAAGGTAAAGGTGGTTTTTTGGGGGGAAGGGGTGTTTTTTGTTAGTGAAAATATTTTGGAATGTCATATGATGTGCTCTCATGCCCTCTGAGCTGTTTCCAGCATTGACGTCAAAAAATAAGAGTGAATTTGGGGACAGCCTTAAGCATGCATGAAGATATACGGACAGCAAAGGCCACACCAAACAATTTAAAAAGGAAACTGTTCGACCAGTGTGTTCTGCCATCCACAACGTGTGGAAGTGAAACCTAGTCTTCCAGTGAGGAAATGGTAAGAGAAATTCAAACAAGCAAAAGAAGCAGGGAAGCACTCAACGACTAAGAATGACTTACTTAAGCATGGAATGAATGACACTTGGGTACACAAGGAGACCAGAAAACAAATACTTGGATTAGGGATTAAGCCCTTCACCCCTTCATCCCAGCAACCATCCACAGCCCCCCCCCCCGGCTTTGTGTGAGGACATACATTCTATTCATCATGCACCTGCGGTGTCAATGTGGGCCTGCTGCTGGACGGGGCATATATGCAGCAAGGTATGAGACGGAGAGAACCCCCCCTGTTTTGTGTTGGTCATTGTCTCGCAGGAATCTGGGGAATTCCTTTCAGACATCGTGGGGGGATGTGTTAAGTAACAATAGTCTGGAATGTGTATAGGGATTGGACATGTTGGGGGGGTACCCCTCGGTCTCATTTCTTGCTGGGTATAGGACGGGGCTTTGCATACTGGGCATACCGCAGCCCGGCAGTCACAGTCAAAAGAATCCCAGCCGGAAGGGGTTAAATTAATGGCAAAAAAGATGAGAGAGGACGGGATGGAGGAAAAGGCAAAACGAAAACTGGACAATGAAGCAATCTCACAACCGAGACGGCAATCTCTCTGGGAAAAAAAAGCTCGGCAGACATCAAGCAAGAGATGAGACATTCGGCCATGCGGATCAACAGACTGGCTAAAAAAATACTTGGCATTCCTTCACCCAGTAGGGGGACCAAAAGGGGTTAAGGTGATGAGTTGCATCCATCACAATTCCCCTGCTACTTGTGTGACTAGTCTTACGACAGGACTGGTGACTGAACTTGTGAGGGATAACTGGTTAGAAAATCGATTAAGTGAGTAACCTCATTACCGACACAGCCTTACACTGCTGAGAAAATGAACTGCAAGTTCCAGTACAAACTATTATAAAAATTCATTAATTAGTGGGAAGGGTACATCATTTTCTATTTGTCTTGTCTTGGGCCTCTGTACTAAAACACCCAAATCCACCTGGATTACTTTGTGGTTAGATGGTTGGGTGTCTGCACTACAAAGCAGGCGGTTCCTGGTTCGAATCCAACCTGATTAAACTTGTGAAAACATTTGAGCATAAGGTGCTAAAACCCGGTATACTTTAATAAGTCTCCAAGCACTTCACAGTTACGATCCCAGCTCACTGTGCTGTGAGTTCAGCTTTTTGCAGGAACTTGAGATCGGCACAATTTGTTCTCTGCCCTCACGGTACCAATATTGATACTTGTGGATGGAGAGATGAAATTGTAGTACCACCGCACCTTTGGGGTTCGAACCCGCACACCACTACATCTGAGTCAAACATCACATCTGAGTCAAACATCACACCTGCTCAACCATTTTCTGAGTGTTTTGCTTTCCATACCTCACAAGGAATTAGCGATCATTCAACATACCACCATCCCCAGACCTGAGGCTCCACCTGACGGCAGACTACTTAAAGTAGTTCAGCGCCGACACCATCATGAATTTCTCGATGAAGAGCTCTGAGTCGAGGAAGGCAATGTGGGCTGCTCTGCCAATGAGGGTGTTGGCAGAGGTGCTGAGGGTGTGGTTGACGTCGTAACGGACGAGAGTGCAGTTGGCATTCTGAATGACTGGCTGCAAGAGGCTGTTGATCATTTCGTTGTAGACAGTTCCTGCAAAGACATAAACAGGAGATTCTCAAAATGTTTACGGCAAAAGAAATGCTCATCAAGGTTTGATACCATTACGAACTCTTGCAAGCTAGGGTGCTATGTGGCCAAAAGGCAAAAAGTACATGTGATGTAATTCCCCATCATTACTGAAGCTGGTGGCATGTGTGAGTAAAGTGCCTTGCTCATGAACAAAGCAACATCACAAATAACAAGCCCTAGCAGCTAGTCTAACCTCGCAGCAAATGCAGCTTATCACAAGAGAAAAAGAAAACAAACATTGCCGACAAAATGAAATATTTTTGCACAAACCATTTTTATTATTATTCATCTACGAGTCATTCAGCAGATTGCCAACTAACTGAGAGTAGTTTACTGAAAACTCCTTGGGCCTTACCTAGGGGGGATTTATCCTTCACAGCCGGCTTGCACATCTCAATCCTGGCTGAGTGAATTGGTACATAGCGATCCTGCAATGACCCTACAAGTACCACATTCTTGAAGAAACTCAGCCCTAAAAGACAAGAAAACCAGTAGCCAATCATTCGGCCAACATCGTGTGGACTGAATATGATAAAACTGTAGTTGTGATAAGCTAACGTTTCGACCAGAATTAGAGGGCGTTGCTACAGAGGTGGCGTGCTTGTTCAATGCCTTTTTGATCTCACCGCCCACAGTCAAAGAGCACCCTCACCAGCAAAGAAGTGACAGGTTGGTGGAAGCTTTTCAACTGGGCCCAATTTCACGGTCCGGAGCTGCTTAGCAACATGATTTTATACTTACTGAGGCCGCACGTCTTTCACGGAGACTGTAAGCAGTAAGCACAGCAAAACGCATGCTTACCTCGGCGGAAAACTTTGCTTAACGTAGGGACAAAACAATGGAAATTTCTACACTGTACGCGAGCGCAAATGTAAGCACAACCATACCAAGCGAAGTCACAGAATGGTGCTTACGGTTAGCAACATTTTCTGCTGTAGTAAGCACAAGTTTTCTGCTAATTGTTAAGCAGCATCAGGCAATTGGGCCCCGGTCTCATGCACACTCCCGGGGGTTACACATGTAAACCTGTGTGACCATGCGGTGAGCTCTGCCGAAGGACAGCGGTTTCCATGTAAAATACGCCCTCTGTTGTACCCGTTCAAAGTGGATAGACGAATTCAGCAACATTTCAATGGACATTCCCGATGGCCCCCTTTCATGGCGGAAAACCAACAGCAAATGAGAGAAACTGATTCCGGAATATGAGGTGACACCAACACCCAAGACAAAGCCAGCATTTAGAAACTGGCTTCACTTTGACCTGTTTTTTTCAAGGGTTGAGACTTGAAGATGACGAAAAATCAACCAAAGATCCGGCACAGGGGATGCAGCAATGACGGCAATACAGTAATGTGGCTTCTAAGGGCTTCTGGTATCTAACATGTCATAGCTCTCCCCCAAATGGATAAGACACAAAGAGCAAATCTTGCACTTTTTCATCAAAAGTGCTAAAATATGACAAAACGTGATTGATTGAGCCTAAACAAATATCCGTAACGTTTTTTGTCAAATCTCCTGAAACCAGGAAATATCCTGTCCAATCACCCTGTTTGTCACACATACCCGAAGAGCGACTGAGCTTGTAGAGGAATGTCTGGCGCATGTCCGTGTGATCCTTGAAGGCGAGCTGAAGCAGGGAACTAGACTTTTTCCATTTCTGCATCAGCCACATGCCTAAATAGGAGACAGGACAACCGGGGTTAACAGGCTATTGGAAGAGATTTCACAATGTATCTTGCACTATCATGTGGTGAAAATTAAAGTTAGGACCTGCAGCCAGTTTAACAAAACTTTACGCCATGGCATAACTCCGCTTACATCACATTTTATTGCGTTGGTTATACAACAAATTAAGACCGATTTCATGAAATTTACACGCTGCGAAAGTCCGCCACTTACGCAACAAATTATAGCGTAACTTACGCAGTCAGTTTAGGTGGCGTTTGCTGCGCCAAACGAAGCAAAACAGAACGATTTGACTAGCTTATCGTGTTTGGTTCAGCATAAAATTGTGGTGCAAGACTTGAGCACGATTCAAAGTTACGCCACGTTTCTTAAAATCGGCTGCTGGTGCCGTTTCTTCATTTGAAGTGCCCCTTTATGACACAGATTTCTTTTAAAATTTGGACTCGGTAAGGATCAGGTAGTAAAGCTACTGTCCTGTGTTGCCATGGTAACAGGCTGTTACCTTTGCACCAATCCCTATTTGGGTATAACGTGGAGTAAAACCTCACTGAAGTTGGTGTAACTGTACATGAAATATCTTCCAAAAATGAGGGCTCTGCCACCTGCTAATGAATGTAACCTGTTTAGTTTCCTTTTTTAACCTGAAATGTTTTACTTTTTGGGCCGAATATGAGTCAGGCATGCTAAGATTCTTAGAGAGAGAGGATGCACTCTAAGAGTATGGGAGATTTTGACAGGCAAATGCGGTGGCATTTGGCCAGGGACGGACACAGCTATGATCAGTTTATCTTCAACTCCAATCTGCCTCATCAACCTTCACCCGTGATAGGCATCAGACTAAAAAAGATATCTGGTATACATGTACACATGAGATGCCAAAACAGCTCTGTTCATGGTAGAACACAGCGATTTACTGTTAGTAACGCAAGACGTTCCATTTGACTGCCTGCGTTGAAAGTCCCAACTGCCGGCAAACACAAATCCATGTGAGTTAAAGAGTTCAAACTTAGTACAATTTCGATATTAAAGCAAAAATGCACGAGTCAATGGGCAAGTCGCGCAGGTATACGATTTGACTTTACCAGTGTTGACGATGGCGCTGCTGTTGTAGAGCTGGCCCAGGTGCGGACCGGACAGCGAGAGAAATGTGAACATCCTGTCTATGTATGGCTCAAGTTGCGGCCTCGTCAATGCCGATCGGATGATGATGGTGCCGAGAGAATGGCCTATGAAACTGTAGAGAGAGACGCACATTGTAATGAATGTGGCAGAAGTATTGTCGGTGATTATCTAAAAGATAAGCCAAACTATTTGAATTTCGATCTTCCTAGTAAACTGAAAAATCACAGCACTTATCTTTAACCCTCCTTTGGTTTTACAGCACAAATTTGCACAAATGCCCACAGTCACTGGTGAGCATGTATTTTCCATATGGAACTCAAACATGCACAGGTTCAGTGTGTACACAGTAGGTTGTTAGCACAAAATGACCCAGGGTCTTTTGTGCAGTCCTGTTCACTGCATTTGGTTTACTGCACAGTTATGCACATGAAACAGTGAAGCGAAGTTGTTGGGCAGCACACAAGTGCAAGCTGATATTCCTGTGAGGGACTGTTGGTGCAGTGCACAACACCACACAGCTGTGCTTCTTTGAGGTCTTCACCAAATGACCCAAAGAGTGACTTCAGCATAGGAGGGTTAACTTATGCATTACAGAGTACCAAAGTGAATATGTCACAAGCACATTGTGTGTAAAAGGCATTAGTGTGACAACCAGCGCGTGAACAAAAACACGCGCACACTCCATGCGTTCGCACTACACTTCCTGGTTCAAAATGACATCACACACCTGTACTCTATGGCCATTAAAGTGTCTATGCATGCACCCGGGGAGTCAGTTTGGCATAGTGATTCTTTCCTCACTTTCCACCTCTGTGGCCCGGGTTCGAATCCCACCTAGGTCAGCATGTGGATTGGGTTTTCAGTCCCTGCCTGATTCCGAGGGTTTTCCCTGGAATACTTATCAGGGGTTTTCTGTCCACGTCTAAAACTGAGCCTTTCTTCATTTTCGTCTTCACTGTCACTCATAATCATCCTGTACTTAGCAATCAAAGCTCTGATGGACAAACAGAAATAAAATAAAACACTACGGACTCCATCACAAGAGACAAAGAGATATCAAAGACAATTTTATGCCCCTGGTGGCATAGAAGCCTAACACGCACATTAATGCATGGCGGGATGTACACATTCCGACGAAAAACTAGTCATGTGATTTTCCTGCCATGTGTGTGCACGCCCCTTCAAGGACAAGGCACTGGTGTCCCCCCCTCACTCTCCCACAGCCTTAGTTACTTAGGAGGTCAGGCGATAACAAGCTGGATCTAACTAAAATTGGCCGGCATCTGAATTAATTGGCAAAGAAAGATATCTCACCTCAGCTTCTTGGGTCGTATCCTGAAGACGTCAATGTACATGATGATCTCTTTCACCAGCTTATCCGTCATCGTATCAAAATCAGCAAAGGTGTCTCCCTGATCAGACAAACCAAACCAAACAAATCTAAAAATCAAAATTCTGTTTGTTTCCCTCATCTGATAATACTCTTCGTAAATCAAAGTTCTGTCTATTAACCCATTGCGGACGGCGGACGGCAATAGCCGCAGCTCAAACGGAGGCTAAGAGTGGGCTATAGATCTTTCTCCTGTGATGTCACAGTTGTGCTGGACCGCCATGTGATTGTGATGGTAATCTACTGATTCAAGATAAACTAGTCAAGCACGCAGCGTTCACACATGCGCTTGTACGTGGTTGAAGCTGCCCGTAGGGATATATGTGATCACCGTGTCCAAGTTTACATTTAGCTCAATCCAGTCACATGGGTGAAAACGGTCTATAGCTGCATAACGCACATATTCATTGTATTCATCATGCACCTGCAGTTGCTATGGCTACTGGGGGAATTATATTGTAACTACAAACTTTCTTGGAGGGAAACTATTGGTGAACCTTCAGTGGATCTGTTTCACGGAAACCAACCAATTCTTCTTGATTGAATAAATTGCCTTTTGTGAATGGAGTGCTAATCCATTGCTTTGGCAGTGCTACTACCATGCTATTCATGGGTCACGTGTGTACGCGATTGTCCACAGCTTTGCTCAGCCCTGCATACTAGACTTTATTAATAATACCGGCGGCCACTAATGGGTTAGTGATGTCACAACTACAAAGTGCTCCTTGCAAGTAGGCTAAATTTGTGACGACGCAAACATCATGGACATATCTACATGCATACTATGTTTCAATGAGAAACTATCACTGTGTGGTTGGGATCTCATGCATACCTGGTTGCTCTCCGACATCAAGAAATCGAACCGCTCCCCGGGCAGTCCCAACTCCAGGTAGGTTTTCAGTAGCCTCAAGTCCGCCCTGTTCCCATCCAAACCGTGAACGCAGACCACCAGGTGAACCTGCACAGCAAAAAACGCCACGGCCGTTAACCTTCAACTCTGCCAGACCCTACGACACCCAGCTAGTGGTTTGAGGGAATTGGGTTGAGGAAGGTAGAGCCCCTGCCAATATCACTTGACCTGCAGCTTGATGCTTCTTGGAAACTTCAGTGCAAAGAACGTGCGATTATTTTTTGGGAGTTTGAAGATTTCGGAGGATTCAGGACGGCTCAGGAAGTATCTGGAGTTAGCATTTATCAGACTTAGGCTACAAGTAAAAAATTGCAGCATTTACAAATTTAGCATCAAACTGCAAGGCGGTTTCTTTTACGTTACTACTTTCAATTTTGTCTTCACGTGCAGTGGGCCATTTCAGAAATCTTGAAGCGGCTTTTCCCCCACAACTTGACCAATTCTTTGCAAAAGTCCCAAATGGAGTCTCACCGCTCTCAACAGAATCATTTCACCACTCCGACCCCACAGCTGCACAGGTCGGAAAGTCTAGGCTGGCTACATAGAGTAGAGCACAGCACAACAGGAAAGAGTGCGTTACATCTGAATGCCCTATTTATCACAAAAACTCAAAGGTCATGAAAAACAAACATACATGTACTCTACTCAAATGGGTTTTGCTGTCAATGATACGTGTAACTCATTGAGGAAGAGCGAGGAGAAAACCTTTGACTGATACTGAGCGTCAAAGACGAGGAGTGTAAAGTGAGGGGCCGCTCAGAATTATCGATAAAACCTTTTTTTTAATCCACCCAGCTACCTCATTTTTGTGAAAAGCCATCATTTCCCAAACAAAAAGTTGATCACGGATAGCCAATATGATTTGGCAAGAGTGGGATTACCAGATTCAAGTGAAAACAATGGCAGGGAAGAGCTGAAGGGATCTCTTTGTCTATGTTTATTGCTGAGAAGTAAATTTTAATTTTTAATTATATGTATCTCCCTTCATCTTCCATCTGGGCTTTTGAAAAACAAAACGAAATTCAAAAACAATGATGATTTTTCAATGGGTCCTTATTAAGGTCCAATGTGCATGTCCCTGTGGCATTTTGCCTTCCCCGGTGCATCCAGTTTACAACGGAATGTGCACAACAACGTACCTCCAAACCTAATTCTTCTTCCTCAGGTTCCATTGGTGGCTCCGGCATGCTGAAGTACGGCTTGCGGGAAGCTTTCTCTGGCAGGTCGCTGTAGAGCTTGCCCGTGAATCGGAGTTTGTGCTTGAAGTCTTCTTTGGCAACGTTAAAACTACGGTTTATGCGGAAGACAGACAGACACACTGTGCAATGAAGATACCAGATCTCAAAGTTTGACATCAAGGGTCAATTTAGAGACTTCTGGGAATATCACCAAGACCAGATGCTAAATTTACCTACTGCCATTTGCGAAAGACAACTGTATGGAATTGTGTACGTTGAATTTTGTTCGCTCCAGATTTTACCCGTTCCACATCCATTTTATAAATCATGTTATCGGATAATATTTCCCAAGCTGGATTGACAAGATCCTACTGCAGTAGGTTAACTGTTCTGCTGTTAATTTAAGGGATCCTGTGCCAAAAAGTTCACATTTTTACCAAAAATTAATATAAACCAGCATCACAGCCTTCGACAAAAATGATAAATATGATAAATACGAGAGTTTCACAATAGTGTACCCCAAGAGTTTGCAACACATTGACCAATCACAGTGTGCAAAATCTGTCAACCCAATGCCCTTTTGGAAAGGGTCGACAGATTTCGTGCACTGTGATTGGTCAACACATTGCAAATTCTTGGAAGCACACTATTGTGAATTGCCCATATTGATTAGAAATATTAGTGTTGGAGAAACTTATTTCTGTGTTGATATTGAGATATTAAAGTTGATGTTGAAGCATTGAGAAAGCTTGTGTTTTTGATTTGTAATACCTGGAACTGTCTAAAAAACCTCCAAATCTTTGTAATGTAAAAGGTAAATCCACGTGTGGAAATGCGTTGTTCCATTTACCGAAGCTCATGAAAACTGGTTGTGCAAAGATGAAAGAAGAAATTATCTCGAGTTCATTTTTGAAAACTCTTCTTTTTTTTTTTCAAATCACACATACTGGTACATGTACAAAGGCACTCGATAATGGAACAGTTCAATTTCACTTCAAGTGGGCATTGCTCAAATGCCATACCTTGCTTGAGACACTTGTGATAACGTCTGCACCAAGCCTGCCTGGAGCCTGGAGTGATCCACTGGCTCCTTGCTGTGGCTCTGCCCCACTGCAGTGGCGTCCGACACGGCGGCACTGGCCACCGGCTGGCGGGTGAGGGCGGGCTTCACCACGCAGGCCTCGGCCCCGCTGTTGCCCGAGGAGGCAGAGCTGTTGCTGTGGTGTATGAACGCGAAGCAGCCGATGCAGGTGTTCACCTTTGAGGGGACCAGGTGGACCGAGTTGCAGTCGCAGAGAGCGTGGCCGTGCTTGGCGGAGTCCTCCGGGCTTGCGTTGGAGGAGGAGAAGGAACTGTTGGCGCTGGGACTTGTCCTGCCTGCGGACAGCTCCAGTATTGCACTGCTTGCTGGGTTAATTGTCCGTGGCACGGCCGGCGTTACCTGAGTTGAGCTGAGTTGGAGTTCTGCCGGTTGGCTGTCTGGCTCTTCCGAATCCTCGGATGGAACGAGCTGTGTGGAATGTGCCGAAGCCTCCGGTTCGGCGCCCTCCGGGCTGGATGCCTTGGGCGAGCTGGACTGGAGGGGGATGCCAGTGTTCTGAGGGGTGTCCGAGTTCTTCCGGGAGGATGCCGAATCAGATTCCATACCCGAGTCAGTGTCAAGGAAACGGAGCTGGGAGTTCTCCAGGGAGATGGGCTCCTCGTTGGCCGACACGCACAACTGGATGTTGGGCAGATCATCCACGTCGCTGGCGCTCGCTGCTGCGTTACTGCCATTCAGCTGAGCCATGCTGTCCACAAAGGAGAGGTCAATCTCTGCAGCTGTGATGGTGGCCAGCTCTTGGTTCTTAGGGTTGGCATCCCGTTCCGTCCTAGTGGCAGCGATTTCAGGGTCCTCATCCGACTCCTCGTAGCCGTTGGCATACACCTCTCCGTTTGTCTCGGTGTAGTTAGTCCTCACAAAGGCATCCGTGCTGCCGATAATTCCTGAGCTTTCGCTGCCCTCAACAAAAGGGGCTTGATTCCTAAAGTATGGTCCTTGCACTGGTTGGGAGGTTAACGAGGAGTATGTGTACTCTGGGGTCGAGAGGGCCCTTGTTTTGATATAACTTTCTCGTTTATTGCCGCTTGCTGAATCTCCCGCCGTTTGTTCAGTCGGTTTGTTCAGAGAAGACGACCGACTTAAGCTCGGCAGCGAGGAATAAGAGGTGATAAGCCTTCTCTCTGTCGGCACATTGGGGTCAGCGGAGGCAAGCAACTCGCTGATGGAAGGCTGGGCATCTGTTATCTCGTACTGACTGTAATCGCGTCCCAACACGGCCTCCTGGCCCCGGCCTGAGAGGCGCAAGCTGCCGGACTTGCCGGTCCTGGAAGCCCGCAGGCCGTGCTTGGACTTAGCTTTGTGCTTTGCATGCTTCTTGTCCCTCAACGGGGTGGAAGTGCCGGCCTTCTGCACGGGGCTCTTCTCCCGTGGCGAGGAGGGCTTGTGTTGATCGGGCGCGTGTTCCTTTGGGGTGGGTGCCTTCGGGAGGGTGCGGGCCGACTGCGCAATCTCGTCGATGCTCAGGTTCAGCACTGCAAGTTAGTGAACATTTCAAGGCAATCAAACTTGCTATCAAATCTTTACAAAGTCCCACCTGCTATCCAGTGAAGCTGTTCAAATGAACTTTGACAAAGGAATTCATCTCTTACTGTATATAACCTGCACCTAAGACTTCTGCATTAGTACATACATGTATGTAAGTAGGAAGTCAAGAGTTCCAATCACACCTGAGTGAGCTTGTGAAGTTTTCCAGAACTCTCAGATGACACCGAGAATAGTGTGAATATACATATTGGCATAATGGCAAAACCTTGTAATAAAATTAACGTCCCAATGCAAAACCACATTAATACCGCAGACTTGTGATTAAACTATGAAGTTGCTGAGGTCCAACTTCATGGGCTCTGCTACGAGCACAGACTTTTAACCACAGAGGTTCATTTAGTTTGAAGCCGGTTGCCAACCCAAATTTCATGCAGCATGTATTACCTCTCACTGGTTTCCTGCTGTTTTCTTGGCTGAGCACGTAGAATTGCTATGCAGCTTACCCTAGGTTCCTACGATGGGCCGAGTGCATTTCCTGAACAAGGCACATTTTACGACTGCTCTCAGGGAGGACATTTTGTGCAACTTAGCAATGCGTGAACACTGTATCTTTGCTGGAAGTTCCACATTTATATCTACACTGTACAAGTGGATTTCAAACACCTTCACAGTTTTATGTATTGTTAATAATAAAACAGAGAGCCAAAATTCCTCGCAATATGTGTCCATCACTGGCATATCACCTCTATCCACTGCTAATAAGGGTTATGCCTTCCTGCAAGCCCTGCTTGAGGTTACAGTAAGAAATACTGAAGTATTGTGCAAATGACTCCTAATAGGTTAGTGGTACAGCTATGCGAAAATATCTCTTTTTGTATAGGTGGTTCTAAAAAGGACCGGAGGGTACTCAACGTTTCGGAGAGTACGCTCTGTCCATCATCAGGAGACTACGTCCGTCACCCTGACGACAGACAGAGCAAACTGTCGCAACATGTTAATCAACTTGCCACCTTTACGACGAAAAACTTCAAATCTCATCAAATGACTCTTACAAGTCAGCTGAAACAGTACTGTCCGCGAAAGGCGAAGGACAGTGACTGGTTGATCACATGGTCCACTCACCTTCCTCCGTGTCCACCGAATCCAGGTAGCGATCCTCAAAGATGATGGGTATGGTCTGGGGGTCGCCATCCGTGTCGGTGCACTCCAGCGGCAGCCTGGGTAGGGAGGTGTAGTAGAGGGAGTTGCGGATGGCCTGGCTGATGTAAGAGTAGCCCTGGCAGCTGATCTCGTGGAAGGTGACGGCTGACGGCTTAGGGTTATCGATGGTGAAGAAGCCCTCCGAGAACCGCTGGACCTGTGATGGCAAACGAACACTTCGGTGAATGGTTACCGTGGCAGTCTGGGTTGTAAGCAGCATCGTAATCTGGTATGTGTTGAGTTCCAAGTTCTAAGCCAAACATTGAGCTAGTTTAATAGGACGGAACAAAGCTGAAGAGCATGGCACTGGACGGTACATGCACAAAGGCAAAATCAAAAAACAAACGACTTAATAATAAATAAAAAGTATGTTTTCATAACATGGACTCTTCTCCTTAAAACTTAATTTTTGCAAGACTGAAAGTGTCTGAAGTCCTGAATTTATTTCATAATCTTCAACATTTGTGTACTTACCATCCAATGTCCACTTTCTCCAGCTTTGTTCTATTGTAACTAGATCAATATTTGGAAGATCACTTGGTACTTGAAAAGTACTATCCGTACAACAGTGGTTAGTGGGTCAAGGTGTGCCAACTTTACACACACGTACCCCGTTTGGATCCATGAACAAGAGGGTCCACACGATGCAAGTTGTGCAAACCTTGTGTGGACTAAGCCAGGTCCACACAAACCTTGTGTGGACTAAGCCAAGTCCACACAAACCTTGTGTGGGCTAAGCCAGGTCCACACAAACCTTGTGTGGACTAAGCCAAGTCCACACAAACCTTGTGTGGACTAAGCCAGGTCCACACAAACCTTGTGTGGACTAAGCCAGGTCCACACAAACCTTGTGTGGACTAAGCCTGGTCCGCACAAGGTTTACCCCTTTCTGTAGAACAGGTTTACAGGCATTTTGGGTTAGGCACGTGTCAACTGGAAAGATCCACTTTCGTAAAACTAAAAAAGTGACCGGATCACCAGGAGAGTCCCTTTGTGGATATTTTTTACAAAATGGCAAATTTTGACGTTGAACCTGAGAAGATTTGTCGAACAAGCGACGATTAACATCTACTCACCCTTGCATTGTGGTACTCGGCCCTCAGGTAGTTATTGATGTAGCCGTTCTTGACCATGATTTCTATAAACTGCGTCCATATAAGGCACAGTTCTCCAGACAATTGGGAAATGTGCGTGTTGACTGACTCCATGATGTCTTCTTGGTCGGTTAGTCTCTATCAGAGAGAGAAAAAAGGTGGGCTTATGTCATTCATTTTGACTCTCTCTGATATTCAAAATTCATCCGGTTTGGGAAGATTTTTGAGGATTGAGGAAGGCAGAGCCAAGCCACGGTTACTTTACATGGGGCTTGATGCTGTTTGAAAGTTTCACTATGAGTATGTGCCACAGGTGTCCTGCAGAGTGGAGGATTTTGGACAATTGGGAAGATTCCTGGCAGAATTGCCCAACCAGTTATGGTTTAACAAGGGACTAAAACAGAGTCGTGAAAATCCCCCCCAACAAAGGCAACAAACCACAATTTTTAGTTTCACCTTTTTTTCCCTTAAAACCGATCCCTTTGATGTCACCTGTTAGAACGCATCATAGGGGACTTCAAGACTTTCTGTGATTGTTTCCCGAACTCAATTCTTAGGGTTCCCAAAGGAAATCTGGAAACCTAAATTCCATGATATTTCCAGGACTTTCCAGGACTAAAATGTGACAATTCCCATGACATTTGAGGCCCTTTTGCAGAGGAAACTTGTTTGGTATTATTAACTTGAAGACTGCCATAGCCACTGCCAAACCGCCCGAAGAGGATAGCTTGTATATTTAACATCATTCCGTTATTACATCATAAGCTCTCAATCAAAAATAACCCTTGCATGATCTTGATTTATTTGGCTTTTCCATCAGTTTTTTTCCCTCGGGAAACAGGATTCCAGGACTCTTTATGTTTTTCACAATTTTCCATGACTCTTCCACCACTTTCCAAGACAACTTTTTCTCCTAGGATTTTTGGTGACTACGCGAACCCTGCTTCTAAATTTGAAGGAGCCTGTCGCAGGCATGAACTCAGCCAGGAGGGTTTCTGAACTTGTTGACAAACCTGGAATGATTCGCACATGATCTGAAGCTTCTCTCCGTAGTCAGCAGTTTCTAAAAAAAAGCAAATTGAAGTAAAAAAATTAGGAACCTCGAAAGAGTTCATATTAAATTTCAGTTTTTCCAAACCCAGTTTTCTTGGTCAGTTTAAGAACAATCCTAACATCGCAAAATGAAATTATTTACCGGGTCATTCTATAAATTCAAGGTCTATAAGTGTAACTTTTTTGGTGTCCTCGTTACACTCGAGCTGTGGAAGTTGACATGGAAATATCATCAAAGTTGACTTTAAGCAGCATTTATTTGTTTGAAAGGTATTTTTGCATTACTGAGTCACTCTTACAAATTAAAGAGTGTGTTCCAAACTTGGTAAGTTCTTCGTCAGATGTGACAGGGACACGAGAAAAATTGGACCCCAAATTTATAGAATGACCCTCATGTGTGGATGCACACGGGGGTCCCAGGATTCAGGAAGGGTTTTTGAGCTAAAAATGCCCGAGCAGATAGGGTTAGTGATGACGCTTAATGCTCACCCAACGTGAACTGCTGGTCCTGTGGCAAGTGCTTGCCCAGCTCGTTGAACGTGAGGCAGAGCGCACATCGCGTCTGCAGCAGCACAGCGCACATGCTGTGGTAGATCTGATAGGCGTGGGCATTCTTCTCAGCTGGAACTGTGTATCTGTCGCTCTGCACAAGAAATAAAAAAAAAACACTCATTTGGTCAGCAACTATGGTTATTGCTACAAAAGAACTGGAGGGATCTGCCCCCCTTCCTACATTTCTCATGATATTGTTGCAACTCATTATATTTAAGGTGCTGAGCCTTAAGGAGTTTCTTCATCGATGTCTGCAGTCATTTTCGCATCTTCAAAAGCCAGTGAAACTCACCGAGGAGCTGGAGAGAGGGGGTTTTCCAGGGGGTCCAAAGAGGACAGCTTCCAGGGTGGGAATTGGGGGCTGTTTGGTAGGCGATCCTGATCCTGATATGCGATGCAGCCACCCTGACTTGACTGGCTTGGGTACGCTACAGGAGACACAACATTCCAAAAACTTTCATCCATCAGTCGTAGATTGCTCAAGCCAATCCCAACAATATTTAGGTCAAACTTACAAGTACTGACTTTGCACAACGGATTAGTTGCGCTGGAGAAGAACTTCTTTGGTTCATGAGGAGCAAAATATCACGGTGGGCCCTCAAAACTTATCCCAGAGAGGATTTATTTTCAGCTAAAAAGCCAACATGGGTAGCAACGCGATCCTACCATGCTCACTACAGTGCCTTGAAGACAACGGGCAGCTAGCCATAAATGAGATTGGCGTGTATTGACAAAGGGACAAACACATTGAAGAAATGTTTCCCATGTACAGACAAGATGAGGGAGTTCGTAAGGTTGGGTCGTAAAAGCACGAACAATGATAAATCACTCTTTTCCAGATCTGCTAATCTCTCAACTTTTACATTTGAAACACAAAAACAAACCGTATAGTGAAACCGGCTAGTATTTCCACGGATGGATTTGCGCCGGGAGATGTTAATTAATTAGGGATTTTTGCCCTGCCCGACGTGTATTGTATACTCAGTGTATGCCCCCGAATGCTCTCACAAGCATACTTGGGCGGGACTTGAACCCTCCTACTTACTAGTGCAGAAGTCTTAACCACTCGACCACCGAGCTTGCCAGAGTCGGCTGGCTGGTTCGAGTCAGATGTAACAGAGGGTACCACTGACAAGGTGCTTACATTTAGGTTTACCTTGACAATTATTTGTAAGCACCTACATGATTTGTGTTCAAAAGCCATATCCTCCCTGAGTGATCCCTGTTCAGCATTTCCCAGGTTGCATTTGTATTTGACGTGTGATCCCTGGCTATGTGGTGCTTCGGGTATGGCTTATGGCTAGCACCCCAAAACAAAGATAATTGACAAAAGGGAAGAGCCACTAACGTAGAGATGGATAGCTCAGTTGGTAGAGCACCAGTATAGTATTCCAGAGGTCGCAGGTTCCAGTCTATTCCTTTGTTCATCTTTATGATTTAAATTTGATACAGAGTCCTCAACTCCTGTAAATACGACGGAGGATCGTCATTTTTTTCCCAAATGTGCACTCACCTAAAAGTGGCCTGGTGGAGTCCCAGCAGGGAGCCATGCACCGTTATCGACACTGCCGACAGGTGGAAGTAGTCAAAGAGGAGCGGTACGTGACTGTGGAGGCCGTCCGAGCCGTTGATATTCAGCTTGAGCGTCCGCGAGCTGATGACCTCCATTGATTCGGGGGTGCCGGGCCTGTGAGCGGTAAACCGACTTTGCCTCAAGATGGGTTCAAACTGCGCTCAACCAGGGGGCAATTTCATACAGCTGCTTAAGCACAAAATGTGCTTAAGCGTGAAAAAACTTTGCTCGACAAATCAGGTTACCAGCCAAAACTCCATGTGATGTATATTGCTTTGGAATGGCATTCACCTGTTGTTTGGTTAACATGACAATCACATACATGTAGATTTTGAGCTGGTAACCCTTGTTTTTTAAGCAAGGGGTTTTTTGCGCTTGAGCAAATTTTATGCTTAAGCAGCTCTATGAAATTGGCCCCCGGGGTAAATCGAAAACTACCTTATTTGGAAGTGAAACATGCACGTACCGTACATGTGGGTCATTCAGTTATACCTGACCTGTGTAATTTGACATGAAAATATCACTGAATTTGATTTCAAACTATTACTACTTGTTTGGCAGATAATTTGCATTAACTCATCACTCTCGGAAATTAGAGAATGTGTTCTGAACTTCCAAAATCATACGCCAGATGTGACAAGGACACGAAAATTGGACCCCTAATTTATAGAGTGACCCATACACATGGAGATATGTTACAACATCTTTTACAATACAGTAATAATGCACTATCAATATAACAGTCTGCTTATAACAAGAAAATTAATTTATAAATTAATAATTTTAAATCCAAATCCTTTGTTTTTCATTGTTTGCATTCCTGACAAGGTAACAAGGTAAATAGTGATAACAAGGTAAACTACGAAGTCCAAATGACCTCTACTTAATGAGTTTAACGGAATATAATGATGTTATGTGAACAACAACGACCACATTGTTTTTATCAATGCATGTGAGTAATTCCAGAAATTAGGGGTCCATTTTTGTGTGTGTCTCTGTC